CTTTTTCCTTTCCTTTTTCCTTTCCTTTTTCCTTTCCTTTTTCCTTTCCTTTTTCCTTTCCTTTGTCCTTTCCTTTGTCCTTTCCTTTTTCCTTTCCCTTTTCCTTTCCTTTTTCCTTTCCCTTTTCCTTTCCTTTTTCCTTTCCTTTTTCCTTTATAAATCTATATATTATAAAAATGTTGGTGGTACGTCATTCTAACAGCCCTTATTCTAAGTGTTCCACTGAAAATTTTGGAAAACACTACGTCATTCTAAGTTTCAGTTCGCTACTATATATATATATAATTGAATATTGTATTATGAGAGAGGGAGTGCCATTTAGTTTAAAAAGTTTAGAATACATAATATCAGAAAAAAAAGAGGAATTATTATCTTTAATTTATGAAGAAGTAGAATATTACCTAAATTATAGAGTTGCACATGATATTGAAGTTCAATTAGTGGCAAAACTACCAGATAAAGAACATGGTGAACATGAATTTAGTTTTAGGGAAATTTACTTTATGAATGGCTTTGATGAATATGTAGATGAAGATAATAGACGAAGTATTAAATAAAGCAGTTGAAGAAATAAAAACCGATATAAGAAGACCAAGATAAAGATAGTATAACAGGAATACAAGCATGTCATTTTGAATTGATAATTATTGACGAGATTTACTACTAACATATTTCTAATAATATTTATTTATTAGAATTATGGATTTGTAAGATAGGGTTATTAAAGGGTAGGGAATAATGTTTATTGTTGTCTATTGTTTTGTTTTTAATGGTGTTCTTTGCTTGGCTTGTTTTTGTTTTTTGAATGTTATAGGAATTCTTGGAAAAACATTTAAGAAAATAATCATATTTATATGTAATGGGTAAAATTTGTAGATACTGTGTTAAAGATTTACCAATTGATAATTTTGAAGATGGATTGAAAACTTGTAAGAAATGCTTGGAATACAAGAGAAAGAACTATGACAAACATAAAGATAAAGTGAATGAAACACGAAGAACTAAATATAAAGAAGATGAAAAATATAGAAAACAACAGGAACAAATACAAAACTATCGTGATAAACGTTGCCTTTTGTAATGTATGTAATTCATCAATGAAGGCACAATGTTTTTCAAGACATTTAAAAACAGAGAAGCATAAAAAGGAATTTAGGAACGGGTGATGGATAGGATTTTGTAAAATGAATAAGGTAATAATGCGTTTGACTGCTATGATTTTGAAAAATGAATGAGGTAAGTATGCTTTGACAGCTATGATTTCGAAAAATTGAATGAGGTAATTGTGTTTTGACTGCTATGATTTTGAAAAATGAATGAGGTGCAAGTATGCTTTGACTGCTATGATTTTGAAAAATTGAATGAGGTAATTATGTTTTGACTGCTATGATTTTGAAAAATGAATGAGGTAAGTATGCTTTGACTGCTATGATTTTGAAAAATTGAATGAGGTAATTATGTTTTGACTGCTATGATTTTGAAAAATGAATGAGGTAAGTATGCTTTGACTGCCATGATTTTGAAAAATTGAATGAGGGTAATTATGTTTTGATATTGTTGAGAAAAATGAAGTAATCAACAATATTTAAACTGACTTTTTGGACTGTTATGTTTTTTTATGAATAAATTTTGATTTGCTATACTGCTATGATATTAGTTTAGAAAACTTCACTGAATCAATTTTTTTTACATATTTTCACCAGTCAGCCATTGGCGCCTGGGATGGGCAAGCTTATTTCAGGACATGTCAAAAATGGAGAGCAAAGGGAAGCAGGACATCGGCAGCAAATGACTGCTGGTCAGGATCTGCAAAGTTCTGTAGTGACATGTTCAGCACACCTTGCGATTTGGTTATCTGAAAGCCTCTCCTCGGTCTCAAGTCCGAAGTCCTGGTTTTGAGGACATGGTTTATATACAATCATTCAAGGCCGTAGCCCCGTAGCCCGTGGTTTGCTACTGGCCAGACCAGTTTGTGTAAAAAAGTCCGCATTGCGCGATCAATTCACCAGTCAATCGATGTCAAGGAGAGCTTGATTTCATGATTGGAGAGGTCTCGTGCCAGAGTACCTACTTGAAAGATCACAACATCCTTAGCTTCATTTTCGGCTGTTTCCAATTCTTTCGAAGTCTTTTTTGAAGTCTTTTTGGTGTTTCCAGACAAGTTGCCTGAGTTTTTTCATGTTTTTTCTATTAAATTAAGCCCCTTGGGACAGGGCCAGCAGAACCTGGAGCTGGCAAGCCGTCTTCATGTCCTTGTGCAGAGCACTGCTCTCGAGGGGATGGATGACGAGGCTGCGCATGGACTCGCCCTTTAAGTGAAGTAGTGGAGTAGCAAGAATCTGAGAAGAACTAAGAAGAACATGAGCAGCTGGGTGCTTCATGGTGTTTCATGCTGTTTCATGGTGCTTCTATCTGGGCTCTTCCCAGGTCTGACATGCAATTAACAAGGTTCAGGGTAGCATTGCACTTGGTAGCCCAAACGAATGGACATATTCACAGAACCTCATCAGTTTGGCTGAATAAATATATATAAATAATTTACAGTACATATTATATTAAATGTAGGCTTGGTTCGACATTATAGCCCATGCTGTCAACACATGCCTGTGGACCCCTCCTTGTGGACTTGTGCAGGGCACGGCCTTGTCACTAACTCGCGTGCAGGCACAAATCGATTCTGCTCTTAGCATTTTTATTGCTTTGCAGTGAAATTGAACTGTTCGGAATGGAGGTCTCCGCTCAACTTAAAGGTTTGAAACAATACTGAGTGGTGAGGCATGGAGTCGGTATTTGCGTTCATTTCCCATTGTGGATTTCAAGACGACTGGCTCTTTTTTCTCTCAAGCTTGAGCACACAAGCGTGTGGGTTGTGTGTCTGGTAGTTTGTAGGCCTCCCTGGTCGAGAGAGTTTAGCCGTGCCATGTCGACGATATCGCCTTACACAACTCAGGGCAAATGGTCACACAGCTCAGGAGGTGAGATTGACATCAACGTGGACAGCACTGGCCAATCGGTCATTATCAACCATCCGACCGTGGGAAAACAGACTCTGGAGGTGAGGAAATTTTGTGCAGGTGATGGCCTTGATTACTTCGGCTTCAAAGGGAAGATTGAGGGCAACAAGATCACCTGGAACAATGGAGTTGTGTGGACCAAACTGGCTTAGGACGCAGAGGCGCCTGACAGGTGTATTTTGCCCGCAACTTCAATGTAACTTGCGGATACTTGCGGTTTGTCCTGTGCCATGTCCGACATTTCTGTAAAGCAGACCTCAGCATTTCAGGCCTGCCAGGGCGACATCAGGGCGACTTGAGAAGGGGGAGCTTCTCAAGGGAGTCGACCGAGAGTGCTTTAAGCACATCTCTGGTCAGACCATGTGTCAAGATTGTCAAGTCAAAATACCATCTGTGCTTATTCACCCGCATGTTCCAAAAAAGGGCAGCTGGAGGGCAGCAGCAGTTGTGGGCGCTTGAACTAGCTACGTGAATTGATTGTTGCTACTGTGATACTGTGGAAGGATGTAAAGCATGTGGGAAAATGCACTAGATATACCACCAAATAAGTTGTCTCTACCATCGTTTCATATCCTTTCACATCATGTCCCTATGAACGACACATCTACAGAGAATCTACAAATATCTAATGATATCTACAGATATCTACAGATCGGGATTCTCCACCTGTGAGGTTTGCAAATTTGCAGGTGATGATCGCCGCAGCTGCACGGCAACTCGTTGCTGGAAGCAAATGGATCACAAAGGAGGCAACGAATTCGGCGAAGCAACGACGTTTGATGTTTGAAGTTGACGATGCAACATTTTTTTAAATCAAAGATCGGGATATTTCTTGTTTCAATGGATCTTTGTTATCAGGATATTTTTATGTTTTCATGTCCCAAAGATCTTGATTGTTGAGCGCATGTTTGTCAGACCTTTGACAGCCGAATGGAGCAGATCAGAGGAGAGTACTTCAAGGAACTCCGGATCATGCAGGCGCAACGAAATTCATCAAGTTGTTTCGAAGTGCTTGGATGACTTCCCCGTCCCCCTGTGCAAGGTATTGTCGCACAGGATGAAACATGATTCGACCAAACAGCAGTTCTTCTCAGTCTTAGCCATGGCACACGCAGGAATTAGTAGATAGACACAACTCAAAGCAATAGTGTTTTTGGATGTTTTTGGCATTTTTCGACTAATCATGTTGATTTTTGATGATTTTTGCGTTGTGAGAGATCCAGTCTTGAAAAACTAGCGGGATGGAGTGCAGCGAAACATGTGGGAGCTGAGTAGACCTAGACCACACGACCTCATGACGTACGGACTGCCTGCGAGCTGCAGGGACGACTGGAGGAGTTGATGCTCAAGGCACACTTTGTATCACTTTGCCGCAAAGCAACGTTTGAGTTTACATGCCGCGGTCGAGACTCCTTTCTCCCAGGAAGGGAATAGTCAGTTCCCCGATAGGTTCAAACAGAATCCTTCTCAATATGGAATTGAAATGCAGGTCTCAGAAGGTCCATTTTGGACGTCACACCCCCATTCTGGGGATTTCTCGAGGATCTGTTTCCAGCTGTCAAGGTTCAGCAAGCCGCTCCGCTGCAAGTGAACATGCCGGCCGTGCCCGGAAAGCTGCCAAAGATGTGGCCCTGGCAGGGTTTGATGCACAGCGAACACTCACATTTCCTGCAGTTGGAAGACGTCACAAGCATGCCATACATAAAATATGTGCTGTTGAATTTGAAGATCTAAGCTTTGCAGCTCCGAATAAGTCAGGGTTTGGTATGTAGGTTCGTGGAAGTTGACAGACTGATCAAAATCAGCGTCCACATTCCAGGATCTTTCAGAAGGTCCCTGGCCAGGTGCACCTTGCTTCAATGCACACAGAGGAGATAGGACATTGATTAGTCATCAGACACGCAACTGAGTCATCATCAACACAAAAGTGAGTCTTTTGATGAAGTACACTCAGTAATTGCATAGCACCTGTCACGGTGAATACATCAAGTCTTGTTGGCATTTTCTGCAAATCATTGCGGCAAGCTGTCCCGCAGGCTACTCCAGCGCAGTCAGAGGCCTTTGAAAATGGGAGCGCATGAAGCAGTTGTTTCACCAGAAACTCTGAATAGGCAAGATCCTAGCCTGCATCTCACCAAAGACATGGCACATGCTGCCAACTAAAGAACGCTACCATTCCCACTGGTTGCAGCGTTGCGTTTGCCAAAACATGGCAGCCCCAAGCCCAAATTTCTCGGAGCTCAGACATCAACCTTTTTTCACAGGAGCAGCGTTCAAAAATGCCTTAAACAAATTTATCAAGGAGTTAACCTATCGTGTTTCTGCGAACAGAAAATAGCTTGGCGCGAAAGCTCGCGAAAGAGCTTCGCGAAAGAGCCTCAGAAGACCTGCGCCGCAAAAGCGCCGCGAAAGTACACTCCCCATCCCCACATAACATGCTGTCCGCGAAAGCGCCGCAAAAGTAAATAACAACAAAGATGTCCAGGCGAAAGCTAAACCTGTGGTCGCGAAAGCACCGCGAAAGCTGCGCGAAAGCAATTCTATAGGTTAACCAGTTGATCAAGTGCTTTTGAACACTGCTCACATGGATCTCTTTCAGAGCAGCGATCGAGAGCTGGTACTGTACGAGAAGGGTACTGCCGTACCACCTCCTTCAGTCTGGTTGTGTACTGCCTAGCAACGGCAGATAAAAGGGTGAATCCCAGCGCTCCATGTCCATTCTGGATTTGCCGCTGCCAGGTTGACAGACTTGGAACAGCCCCAGCAGGGGGTGCTCGGCCACCAATCATCGCACAGCAGCCCATGAGCGCTCGTGGCTTGCGACCAGCGACAGAAGGAAGGCAAGGTGCAGAACATGAGTTGGTCTTCAAGAGGTTGGATACACATCAGCAGTTGCTTTGCAAAGGGGATTCGTGATTTCGCCATGTTTCGCTATGTGTCCACTTTACCCTGACCCTTATTTAGGTAAGCTTCTTTTGGCTTCTTTGAATGATACAGAAGTGGGTGCATGACACATCACCTTCATACTCCTCTATAGGCTACCACTCATTGCAGCGTGGCATATGTTTGTGGCAGGCCTCGTGGACGGCAGGGTCATCAGTGAGTGGAATCCAACATGGGAAACGTTGAGGAGGATTTCTACTTTTTAGCGACTTTATCTAGGATGGTGCAATTTGCAGTCCGCACTTGCCACTTGCTGGCAAAGCCACAAATGTGCAACTAGGAATCCAACTGACCCAGTCACATTTACTAGATGCGCTTTCATATGATTCCTTCAGATGAATTTGCACAAGATCTTGCTTTGATTGCTTCTGGGGACACTCCTTTGCCAGCGCGCTAGAAACAAGGCCTGCAAAGCAAGCCAGGAGCGCGGGTCATGGCAGAATCGGAGCCTTACTGCATGTGGGAAGTTACTAAAAAAGCGAAAATTCAGACCTGAAAAAGAAGCAAATGCCACCTTGTCTGAGCGCACAACCACAGAACACCCCATTGTGATTGAAAACGCTTCACTTCAAGACAGTCTCTCTTGGAAGCTGTTTGAGTAAGACACAGCTTTCAGTCTCCCTGCTTGAGAAAGGCTAAACATGATGCAGGAGGAAACCAAGCAATGCAGAGTTGGCTTGACCATGATGTTTTTTATGAAAGAATTCAATCAGAAAAAAAACAAATCCTAGCCAAAAAATGCCAAAAACAAGTTTCTTTCTTCCCTTCGTGGTCGAGAACATTGACCGCGTTTGGAAGCAGACTTCCCACTGCGGTGAAGTTGTACAAAGTCATCTCCAGGTGGTGCTCCAGCAGCGGCAAAGCAATATGCAAATGTCAATATATGGAGCTTAATAGAAAAGAGCGACTACCTTTCGAAAAAGAACTGCTCCGGACTCCGCACCCATCACAGACATTCAATAACCTCTTAAGTGGACATGTACATTCTGGAAAGAAGGAAACAGCATGAGCCATTTAGGATGGAATAGGTCCACACTCAAGCTTGTCTCTGCCTGTCTGCGGTCTAGGCTCCAAGGTTTTAGCATCTGGCTACAAGAGCCAAAACATATAGAGCACAAGCGGCGTAGGGCCAGAACCGAACTCCGGTCACTCCAAATAGGAGGCCAATGTCAGACTCGCTGGTGACAGACCCCATCGTGATGCACAAGCGGTAAAGTGGTAATCAAGAAGAACACCTCTGAACAGTACGTAGGGACCTTGTTCCCTTTCAACATGCTGGGTTTTCAAGAAAGGATCTAGACTACATTTGGGAAGAGAATTTAGGTAGTCATTGCGCATCAGTGAGCTAATTCACAGACTACCAATTGTGAGCACCTTCCGAGATTCCCCTTTGGTCAGGGCCAGACGTCATTCGGTGGTGATTTGCTCAGCTGATGGGTAGCTCTGCCATGTTTGACGGGCACCATAGTTGGACATTCCAAGACCTTCTTGTCAAAAAACTTACACTGCACGGCTTCTCACTGATTTTTCATGATTTTTCGCTTAGTGTCAAAAGTGCAAAAAAATGCCACACTCGTCGCATCTTGTCACATCTTGTCACCTTCGATGGGTCTCCAGGATGCTGTGCCAGTGACGCGGCAAATGCTGCGCCTGAAGAGCCCTACTCTCAGCACCTCTCAGCTGTTAATTCGCAGCGCAGTGGCCTCATTCGCTGCTTGGCCAGTGTCACTCGTGTGACACATGTGTCACATGTGTCACAAGCAAGGCACTTCTTCAGCCAATACAAGCTTGGAAAAAAGCTTGGCGAAGGCACTGTTGTCGATTTCAGTTGCAGCATAAACTTTGTACTGACACAGCACCCGATGAATTGAATGGTTGCGGACGCAAGCGCATCATTGACCTTCACCCCGACAGGAGCTTTTGGCCAGGTTCGCTTAGTCATTGAGAGGCAATCGCAGCAGGACCTGTAATTTGCGGACTGGCCAATTTGACAGTACTGAATGATACAGATTATTTCACCCTTCCATTTCCAAAAATATCAACACAGCAGTTATTGATTTGGCTTGTCACTTGAGGAGCTCGCGGTCAAAATTGTTGATGTGCGAGAGCGCGATGAACACGGTGTTTGTGTTCTCCTGAGCCTTGCGGAGCCATGCTCTGTGAGCAGCTTGGACCGCGTTGCCAATCTTCGACTGCCCAGGCAACGGACAAGTTAGCAAAAGCCGTGACCGAGTCACCCGTACAGAAGTGGACCTTTGGACAAAAGTTGGGCACCAAGACATGGGAACGGTTGGAATTCCGCACCAATAGACATTTGTCATTGTACGAAGCAAAGTTATGTTTAAAAAGGATGCACGTAAGGCTTCTACAGTACCTTTCAAATTTCGGACAGAAACGGTTCCTTGAGGGTTTCATAATTTCATATTCATTATTTGGCTTCTGGGCATGATTGGATGGCATTTGGGTTTTCAGATTCGTTTTGCACGAAAGAAACCTTGCGTTCCAAGAGCACAGAATCACGCTTGACTTGTCAAGGCCAGTAGCTCCAACTGCTCGTACATTGCGGCATCCCCAGTTTGGAGAGTTTCTGCTTCACAATGGAGTGCGCATTGGTTCACAGGTGTTTGCACTCCAAATCCGGACCTGGAAGGAACAGAACACGAGGGGATTCCAGAAGCGATTCCACGATTCCAAGGTCAAGCTGCACAGGAGCTTTGCAGAGCCATGATCTCAAAGGAGTCAAAGGAAGCCATGACCACTATGACCCAACTGACCCAACTGTTTGCTGATAGTTTGCTGATAACTCTTTGAAAACTTTGGGTGGTTCTTCAAATTTCTTCAATCTTTTTGGGGCAGTTTGGTGTGGTGATTGGCTCCAATTGCACGGACCTGTGAGCCTTCGCCCAGAAAATCGCTGTACTACATGGTTTGCGAGAAGTGTGGAAGCCTCAGAGTCTAGGTGTTGGACGCTTCCATAGACTTTATGGACATGCCTTTGCTGATCAGCTGGCCGGATGAGCATGCTAATGTCTGGTAATGTGGCTCTTGCAGGCCAATGCTCCTTCATGGACAGATTAGTGCTAGCCTTGGGGTGGCACAGACACTGTGCACTGCAATATCCCAGCATGTCTGCATGTCAGCGTGTCCTTAGTCGGCCACTCTGTACCATTCTGTAGGTTGAAGCTGAGACCATGTCGGAGGTGGACTTGGCAAAGATCTTTCGGCACATGCTGCTGGGTGTGTCTCACACCCACGCGCCGAACTCGGAGTTGAAAGCACAGCTTCAAAACCCATGGCCGTGGGCTGTGGGTGGCGAGACTGACTAAATACCGCTCAGCAGGAAGACAGTTTGGTTTCAGCTTTTCATTGCATTTTTATTTTCAGGATTTTGGATGGTTTTGGAATCTTTTTCGCCTTTGAGCTGGCTGCTCCCAAGGGTGTGGGCATCGTGCACAGGGATATCAAGCCTCCTTCTGAGTCTGAGAAGCCAATTCTTGTATATACTGAAAGCGCTAGCTGTCTTTCTACCAGTTTTGCTATGCCAAGGCCAGATAATTTTCTCTGGGGTGGCCCTGGCAACAAAACGTTGAAACTCTGCGACTATGGTTTGGACCTCGTCTCCCGTGCTGTCCCGTGCTGTGAGGGCAAGCTGTAGCAGTCGCATGAGTCGCATGTGAGGTCTTGCTGTAATGATGCCACAGAAGGGGAAGCTGCACGGAGTGTTCGGTCTGTGCCTCAGCGAAAGAGGCAGGTTTAATTCTCAGAGACTGGCCCCAAATCTAGATAATGCTTTATTATTAACTATCTATCATCTTTTGATCTTTTTTCATCTTTATTCATCTTTGGTATCTTGAGCATCCTTGTGTGGCAACCAATGGTCTGTGGTAGCTACCGACATGCGCTTGAGGTACAGCTCCTTACATGGCCCCAGAGATGTTGCGGAATGAGGGCTATGACTACCTTGCAGATGTTTGGTCCATCGGTGTCTTGGCTGCCACATCTCCAACTGTTGAGCTATTATGGCTATTATACTACTGTATATATATAAATATGTGAACATGTAAATATATGTAAATATATGTAAATATGTATTGTGTCAATAAATCGATTCATGCAAATTCATCTATTCTAGATCCCGATGTTTTTTTGATCAGGTTCGGTAGCATATCTGCTGGTCTTTGGGAGTTTTCCCTACTCTCCTGGAGAGGCCAAACCCATGCAACCGTGCAAAGCGCGTTGATTCATCGTCACTCGCACATCAAACCTGCTCAAGCGCAGATTTCCTACACAGGCAAACGCACCGGCGATGAAGAAAGCCATCATTGAGGCAGGTGTCAGTGATTTAGATATCTATCAACCGCTTTACTTGCAGTCTCGTCAGTTTGATGGGGCTTCGACCCAAAAGTTCTTGATGCAATTACGAGTCACAAGAAAAATACTGTTCAGGACAATCCACCCTTGAAGTTTCCATCACTAAGCGGAAGCCTCAGATCTGTCAACAAAAAGTTGTGAGCTTTGCACTTGGACTGGACTTGATAAGATTTGGCGATTTGGCGGTAGCCTTGAAGCCTCAAGAACAATTTTGGAAGCGGCAGGTTCTTTAGCAGTTTCGTTGTCTTCCCTTTGCTTTCCAATGTAGTCTCAAGCATACCTCCAACTCTGAAGTGCTGTCGATAGATCCTTGCAACATTTTTCGAAAGCAGCACTTTGCCAAACACAGCTCCTCAATTTGAGGTGATGCTCAGGGTGTGGCAGGGGATCCCAAAAGCTACAGTTGCTGTCACTCCACGACTCCGGTGGAAGCAATGACTCTCTGGGTCTTCAGCAGAGTTTGTATTCGGTCAAGACATGAGGTGTCCGGCTCTTTGACCGGTGCTTTAGACTTCACCAAGGCGTCTGATCTGCGTCCTTGGGGTTAAGCCTGTCAAAAAACACATGATGAAGGCAGTAGAAGTATGAGTGCAGGATTGAAGATATGTTTGAATCCATGAGACGCATGGAAAACATAAGTAATGATGACTTCAGTCATCTAACCTTCGGAGCTTTCCAACTTATGCTGTTTCCTAGTACTTGAGCTCCTGCGACCAGACGCTCCTGAAACGGACAGCCAAAGAACGGCCAACTGCAGCAGAGGCCCAACCCACAACGAAGCTTCTGAGTTTGCATTTTTAATGTAAGATGAAGGATATGAAGCCTTTATGAACGCAAGTGCAAACTGTTGTTTGTCTTTATCTTGTGCTTGGCCAGAGGATGAACTGTCAGCTCCATGGTGCTTTTGCCACAGGTTAGATCCAAGAAACATTCAATAGATTTACATAGATTTAATCGACCTCTGAATTTGGTCCGTCCAAAACTTGCGGGGTCGAACGGCAAGGCGCTCCAACATGAGTTTGTTGCAGAGAAGGAGAAACCGAAGCCTGCCGAGCCAGTTGATACTGAGCCAATGCTTCGCACCTTGCTCAGCTGCTCTCAATTGAATGTCAAAGGGTGCTAAAGCATATTTGTTATTGCGATGTATCAGGCTAATTTCCCATGACGCTGGATTTTAAGTTGGAGGGATTGGAATCGTGGTGTGCCAGATGGGTGAGTCATGTGAAGAAAACAGCGCATGTTGGTGGCCCAGGCAAGAATGCTCACAGAGCCAAAAAGCTCACACAGCAATTGCAACAGAAGCGCAATTCCACTGTATTCCCGGCCTGGTTAAAAGATGTTAAAACTTGTCCGTACTTTGTGACATGACCTATATGACCTTCCCTTTTCGCATGTTCACCAAATTTCACCAGCACAAAGCCTGAGAACCAGGAAGAGCTTTGCTGTGTCAAGAATACGACAGGTGCAGCACGGCATCGACGACTTGTTGAAAAAACTCATCACCAAGTTCGGAGGTGCTTGGCGTGCCTTGAGTTGCTGATGTTGCTGCACGTTTCTGTTCCGAACCTTGGAAGCCTTGGAAGTCCTATACTGCAGTACAAAGTCACGCACACAAGCATACAAAACCTAAGCATCACATCCAGTCCCACTGGAGCTTGCAGATGGGCTGCTGCCACTCTGATGCTTGATGTTTTAGGTGACAAGGATTTGATTCATACGCGGTTCGTTCCAACTTTGCAGCTTCACTGCCGGCAAACACTTGGAACAGGAGATATCAGCGGGTCTAATATCTTCTTCTCGGAGGGCGATGAGAAGCTGACCCTCAACAACGAAGACGAGGTCACACTGCACAAATTTCTTCAACAAAGCAATGATTTTGCACAGGTAGGGCCTACGGTAGGGCGATTGTGCGGCGATTTACCCGACAGGAAGATGCCAAGAAGTGGGAGCCTCGAATGAAAAGGAGAAGCTCCAGACGTGGCACACTCAGCTGGATGTGCAAAGATGTGCCCAACTGTTTCACTCTGTTTGAGGACGACTGATGAACAGAAACTAGCTCGCAGTCTGATTGTCAGCATTTTGACACGATTTTTGTACAGCATCCTTCTCTCCACTGGAGATTTGCTGTCAGGCGACGTGAAGCATTCGACGCACTCCGGCGTCATAGATGACAGTGGTCAATTCAAGTTTGATATGAGTGCGTCCCTCAAAGTCCCTCAGCCTCATTTTAAAACATTGCTTGAAACCAAAGCTGAAAGCTGCGAAAACAAAACTTGAGGTCCAGTCAGCAGTGTGACTGGGGCACGAACGGGGAAGAGTTTGCCTGGTGATGCTGGGTCCTTATGGATCCTTATGGGTCCTGAAACAGTTCAGGCATTTGCGAGAATCTGTCGGAATCTTCCCATCACCAGGTGGTGTTTCTGGCCGAGGTCCATGGCCTCTCGAACCAGGTTTAGAAAAGGCGAGGACTTAGACATTGCGTGGCTGGGAAGCTGGACGACTCGGATTGGAACGGCCTTGGAATGGATTGGATTCAGATAGATCTGCTGTTCGATGTTTCAGCGGAGATTAAAATCTTCGCATGGTTTGGTCATATTTGATGCGCTCCGTTGCATTTTGGTGTATTTTGATGTATTTTGACACACTGTCCTTTCAATTTTTTCTTCCTGTGCCACTTTTTCAAGTTCCATAAAGTTCCGTGTGTTTGCATCGCTAGGCTCACTGGATTCTGGACAACTGTCGAAGGACATGAGGATGTCCCTGATCAGGTGAGACCTCATCGGAAAAAAGATCAAGCCTCCGCAGGCAACCATCGCTAGAGAAATGATGCTGAGACTTTAAGGATCTAAATGTATAGATATAATAATATTTATATAGATAATATATATATATAGATAATATATATATATATAATATAATACATATCTAATATATATATATATCTTTACCGTATATATATATAACTCTCTCTCATATATATATATTTGTATTTGTTTATACATACCTATATATACAAATTTGTATACATATATATATATTAATATACATATAAATATATATATATATTTACACATTTAGACATATATATATACACATTTATACATATATACATTTATACATATATACATATATACACATATATATATATATACACAAATTTGTATGCATATATATATAAGTATTTACACATTTAGACATATATACATATATACATATACATATACATATACATATACATATACATATACATATACATATATACAAATGTGTTACGTATATATATATTTCATATATATATTTATAGATATATATTCTGTACAAAAATAGCACATATTGTACGTGACCGCGTGGTGAGTGTTTCTTTGGCTTGTTCTTTCACGTGGAGTGGCTGCTGTACCTAAGAATTGTACCAAGCGGAAGCTCTTGGTCTACAGATGCAAAGTTCGTACGTTTCAATGCTTCGCTAAGATCTCTTTGCGGAGGAGTGTCCCGTGAGTGCAGTCAGTAATTGTTGAGACCAAACATGAACATTTTTTGTGCTTTGTTCCTGCAACTCATGTCAATCTTCATGGCATCTCTGCATCCATGGAAGGAAGAATTAAACATGGAGGCAAACCAGGATACCAATTGTACATGGATACACTCCTGTTGCCGCTTCTGCTGCTCTTTCAGTCCAGCTGACAGTTAAAGTCTCGAATCTGGTCGGAGGGGCATTTTTTGAGCCCAAATGTGGGGTCTTCGTGCACTGATCTCTGCGGTAGCTTATCACGCAATTTTTGAACTACAGAACAGTGTCTCTAATGTCACTGTGCCACATATTTGAACCATTTTGAACCATTACCAAGGGAACACGCAAGACTGATTCACTGACAGTGACAGAGCACTGGAGAGACGTAGATGTCGTCTCGTCAAACCCATGCGCAAACGTCCATAGGACAATGCATGCGCAGATTGCACGGCAAGAATGCTGTTTTTTGTCATGAGAGATTTGCGCCGCGGCTTGGAGGCTTAGAGAAGAGCGACTATATTGTGACTATATGGCATATAAATAGCATGATATCTCTGGAGGGCTTGAAATCTCAAACACGTGATCTCTTAGACATTGAAAAATTGGGCCAAGAAGAAAACCAACTCTTCAGGTCATTATGCTACTTCATGTGGCCAGCACGTGCTTCCGGCAAAGCTGAGAATGTCAGACTGACAAAAATTCCTGCATAGCTCTTGTAGGCTTCACTATTTTTTTTGGTCGTAGGGACCTGTCGGAATTCATGATGTCATCGATAGTTGATGGACCTTATGGAAAAATTGAAGCAGAGCAGCATCATCCACTTGATTCCTTGATCTCTTAAGTCCTGCAGCGCATGAGAGGTCTTGGTTCTAGCAAAGCCTTACCCATCCAATGAATGGGCAAGGGCATCATGGTATTTTCAAAGTACCCTGGCTGTGAGCTGCAAATGTCTCGTTCTTCAGGCCGAGCCCGTTGGTCTTTGTGGAAAGCCTTTCGATTCAACTGCTTCCCCAATGGCTTCAGCATGGCAGTGCTCGCTCGCATGTGCGACAAAAGGAGAGTTGAACTCCTGGCTCCAAATGTAAACTGAACACACAAGAAGAGTGGCTAAACATGGAAGGTTTCTTTCGCCCTTCCACTACTTGTTTAAGATCATGGCCAAAATCGCTGAAGACTACAGATAGTGTGTACTTCCGAATTCATTTGGCCCAAACCTGGCCTGAAGCTGATTGATATTCCGAAGGCAGGGCGTTTGTTGTGTGGGCATAGCGTTGAAGCTTGCTTGCTTTGTTTCATTTCTGTATTTAGAGATACAAGGTTTTTGTAATTGTTGTATTTCAGTTGGGAATACACGCAGGTCTCAAGTCCACTTGATCTCCCTGCTAGGTCAGAGGTTTGTGATGGAACTATCATCGCAGAAGCCACAGGCCTTGTGGCCACGCATGATTCTCGAGTACTTGAGCCAGCACCCGCACAATTTGGGTTCCCGCAGATACCCGGTGATAGTAGCATTTAAAGGCACAAATCCCAAGGGCAAGTGTGTTCATCAGGCATGGAGTCTCATGGCAAAGCGAAGAAGCCGAAACCAGTTGATGGGAGGGCGGAGGCTTGCAGCTGTGGTTCTGCTAATTTTTCTTCTGTTTGTTGCCAAATTTGAAATTGTTCTAGTCGTATAGAAACACTGAGGCGCAATAGCGCGAGAGCCAAATGGGTCCCACACCTGGATGGGTGGTTCCAGAGCTTTTGATCTCCATTCTGATCTTCCTGCTGTCCAATGGTTGGTGCCCTTTGTGCACTGAACATTTCACAATTTTGCAAGGCCATTGCAGCTGCTGGTTGTGTTTGGGTACGCCCTTGGTCGCCGGTGGCATTCTCCATGGTTTGCAACTCAGCCAATAGTTCTGCCCTGCAGTTTTCAAGATGCATGGCACGCCTGGGACAGCACATGTGACAACACGTGGGACAACAAACGCATGCACAGACAGACAACTCAAACTGATTCGTGGTTTCAAAGAAAAAAAATCACATATTTTCAACATAATTTTCAACCATATCTGGGCTGATGATCCCCGATGACCAATATTTTTCAGGGATGTTGAAACATGTTGAAACCATCAACCAGCAAATGTATGCTCATTGATGTTCAAGAGGCGGAGACCCATTGTGGAGCACCACGAAGGTGCATACTCCCGAGTGCTGAGAGGCTGCAAGTGTGCTTAACATAGGCATCATGGATCAATGAGGCTGATACAGTGAAGATGCAACCCGAATCCACAGACATACCGTCAGATCATGGTCATGGAGTCATGCAACCACATGGAGGTACTATTGAATGTGTGGGAAAATACAAACTATGTTGACCTGCAGAGTGACCTGTCTTTTCACATCTTTTCAATAGAATTTTCACACGCAGCAACCTTTTTTGGCCGTTTACAGCACACCAAGTCACGTGTTGGCTGGTGCAGGCATGCTCCAAACGACCTGGTGTGTCGAGGCTGGTACAGTCACAGCACTGCCAGATTGACAGATTTACAATATTGGTCAATATTGAGAATATGAGAGACATTGAGAGACTGTGGGACCATATCTTCCCTGTATATATATATACACATACAGTCACATACACACACACATATATATATGTTAATTGCATGAACCACTTTCATCCCTGGGCAGTGCATTCACAGGTTGACATTCGAAGGACCCTTTCGGCTGAGAAAAGGAGCCAACTGCGTGACTGGCCCCGGGTGGGGCAATGCTATCCAATTGACATTGGTAGCGGAGCCTCACCCGGGGCTGGTGAGGTGACGTGCCATGGCGGAAGCAGGAGACCGTGGCCTGAAGAGGTTTCACGGTGACGTGGAAGACCCAGGTAAAGCTCTTCGCCAATGGAAGAGCTGGGCACTGGCAAAGATGATGACAATGAAAGACCTGTCTCCGATGCAGAAGGCGCCCTGGATTTACACGTTGCTGGATGGGTCAGCGTGGGAAGCAGTGGAACACCTGACCCTAGATAGTCTAGCAGTTGAAGGTGGCGATGCCGAGCTGTGGAAGGTTCTACATGATCGGTTTCCGGAAAAGGAGCCTACAGACATGATGGGGGAAGCTCTGGGCGAAGTGTTCGCTTTAGCTGCAACAGAGGGTGAAACAGCAAAGCAGTGGACGGCTCGAGTTCGCGAGACTTTTGACAAGTGCAAACGTCGGGCCAACACTGATTTTCCCGCCACAGCACGTGGATGGATCACTCTGAACTGCGCAGGTTTGTCGGAGGAGCAGAAGGCCATCATCAAGGCGAAGACTCAGGGCAGTTTGGATTTTGATGATGTCTCCAAGGCCTTCAGGTCATGTTTCCCGATGTACAAAGCAGGAACCAGAGCCAAGAAACCCATCGGAGCTTTAGCTGTAGATGAGGAACCACTGTCTCAGGGGGCCTCGGATGACGATCGATATGACGATGTTCAGTCTTTTCTGGCAGATCACTCACAAGTCAACGCTGGAGAGGATATTGAACTGTCTGAGGGCGAGGCTGCAGAGGCTTTGGCCGTGAGCTGGAAAGAGCGCCGTACTGAGATTGCCAAGGTGAATCAAGCCAGACGATTCACCAAGAGTTCTTCCTCTGGTGTTTCAACTGGCGGCCGGAGAAACTTTCGCTCCGAAGTTGACGAACTCAAGAAGAGAACACGCTGCAGGCGCTGTGGGAAGCTGGGTCATTGGGCTCGTGAATGCCGCAGTGCACCGTCAGGGAACGAGGTTTCTGGAAGTTCGTCAGCTCAACATGCAACTGGTGTCAGCTACGTGGAAGTTGAAGATCCGGACATCACCTTCATAGGTGCTGCCGAAGTGGTCGAAGTCCAAGACAGCCTGGCAGCCGGCTTGATTTCCTCGCCAGGTTTTGGCGTGGTGGACACTGGATGTGGGAAAACGTTGATTGGGGAACAGACCCTGGAACAGGTAGAAGCCATGCTCGCGACACACCGTCGCCCTCCTGCTCAACGCATCTCCAAGGCCAATGTGTTTCGTTTTGGCAATGGTGCAATTGAGCAATCTGAGGTCACTGCAATGATACCTGTGGGGATTGGTGGCAAGAATGGATTGATCGAAGCAGCAATCATCAAAGGTCAGGCACCTCTCCTATTGGGTAGGCCTACGTTGCAGAAGTTGGGAATGCACCTGGATTTCAAAGAAGGGCTTCTCACAGTTCTGGATGGTGCGGTTCAAGTGAAGATGCACTGCAATCCGGCGGGTCAAGTCCTGCTGAACCTCCTCGACTTTCCCAAAGCTGAGGACCAGGTGCCTATCTCTAAGCCTGATGATGTAGGTAAACCTGAAGTAGGTAATCCTGGGGATAACCCTAAGATTAATAACTCAGTGGGTAGTCCTAAGAATCCCAACCGAAGAAAGGTCACCCTGAAGAATAAAGAATGCAGATGCCTTCTTGCCCAAATGAAGAGCACCGCCCAACATGAGAAATCTCAGGTTGCTGTTGCTGAGTTGTTTTCACCACCCAGATTTTCTCTAGAGGCTCAGAAGCGTGGCCAACAAGGCATTGCCTTTGACCTGAAACAGGGTTGGAATCTCTTGAACCCACTGACACAACGTAAGGTAGATGCCCTCCTGGATGAACTCTGTCCTGAACTTTTGATCGTTTGCCCACCATGCACATACTCTGGGGGTTGGGAACATCTCAATTCATGCTACAGGACACCGCTGGAACGTGCCAAACTGCTGCACGAGAATCGAGCCCGACTGAAGTTCTCTCGCCAGCAGATTGAGAAGCAGGTTCAAAGGGGCGGTGAGTTCATGTTTGAACACCCATGGGGTGCAAGCACCTGGAATGACCCAGAGTTTGAAATCTTGTGCAAGAAATATGGAGTGATCAAGACTGACATGTGCCAGCATGGACTCAAGTGCCCAGAGACTGAGCTGAAGATCCGTAAGTCAACTGGTTTGATGGCATCTCGTTCATTGGCTCAACATGTTCGTACGTGTGATGGTTTGCATCAGCATCGTAGGATAGAGGGGAAGCTCAAAACTGGTCAGTTAGTGAGTGACTACTGTGCGGCATATACCCAGGGTTTTGTGCGAACCATGTATGATGCCCTTTTGCATAAACCTCATCCTCTTGAAGCTGAAGCCCGTTTTGTTGAAGCCGAACTTGCATGCCTCGCTGGTGAAACAGTAGGTCTTGAAGACCATGATGCGGATGTGCCGGTAGCAGTAGAACCCAGCGCAGAACCACCGAGTCAGCAGAACTCACCACTACTCAGAACGTTGCAGAGACTTCATCAAAATTTGGGACACCCTTCCACTGAACAGCTGATCAGGATTCTGCGTCATAGCAAAGCTTCCTCGGAAGCAATTGAGTGCGCCAAGACGTTAGAGTGCACCACATGTTTGAATCATCGTGCACCCTCCCCTGCGTTGCCAGCAAATGTGCCATCTCCGCTGGCCTTTAACGATCAGATTGGACTGGATGTCAAGTATGTTAGTGGATGGAAGATCAATCAGCGTGTTGCATGTATCAACATTGTTGACTATGGCACTGGTTTTCAAATGGTGATCCCTATCTACACCAAGGAAAGTTCAGACCTGATCAAGAAGGTTTTGCAAGATAGCTGGATCGCATGGGCCGGACCACCGAAAGCTTTGTGTGTGGATCCTGCTCAACCAAATATCAGTCAGGCAATGTCCGAGTTTTGTGAGGCACGAGGCATCACCTTGCATGCCACAGCAGGGGATGCGCATTGGCAGCTGGGCAAAGTGGAACGACATGGGGGTTGGTTTTCTCAAATATTGGACAAGGTCATTTTTGATGTTGCGCCTACTTCCCAAGAAGAATTTGCAGAATGTATCATACAAACTCAGACTGCGAAGAACAGCCTCATCAATGTCACCGGAACAAGTCCATACCAACTGGTTTTTGGTAGGAATCCCAGAATCCCAAGCGATCTCCTTCAAGAAGACCCTGACGTTGTTGCCTCGGAAGCCATAGCACTCCACGATGGGTATGCCCGTAGCAACCAAATTCGACAGAATGCCAGACAAGCCGTGTTGGCATGCCAGGATAGCAGTGCACTTCGTGCAGCACTCCGAGCACGTCCTAGACCATCTAGACCATTTCAGTCTGGAGATTGGGTTTACTATTGGAGGTCACAGAAGTGGGTTCAGGGTAAGCTTATCAAAGGGGGTCAATGGTGTGGGGCTGGTATGTTGTTGGGAACAATAGGTCGCAACTGGATTGTCGCACATAGGAAGAACGTGATCCGATGTGCTCCAGAGCAACTGCGGCTTGCCTCGTCGGAAGAACGAGTCATTGCAGACGATGCCCAGTCAAATGAGTTGCTAGGCATCAGACACCTTTTGGAACGAGGCCAGTTTCCGAAATCACAGTTTGAAGATCTGGTTCCTCTTGACAATCCACCACAACCTGAGTGTGCGCATGACGCTGTCCAAGAAGCAGTAAGTAGGTCTGCAATGTCAGCAGGAGAGCTCGTACGATCCCAGAAAGAGCCAATGCCAATCGTTCCAGAAGATGAAAGCATGCCAGATCCGACCGGATCCAAGATCACGCCCGAACGTGCCGAGCCGAACCTGTCACAGCCTGGGGAACCCAATAAGCACATTTCTTCAAGTGAATATGGTCCCGTAAGAATAAGACATAGGTCCAAGTCTTCCCAAGATCCTATGTTGCGACCTGATGGTAGCCAGTATGAAGATTTTGCTGAAATGATGCAGGAGATCGTGCCATCTTTGATTCCCCAGGTGTCTGACAGTCCAGCAAATGGTCCCGCTTCCAATGAACAGTCAAGCAGTCCAAGATCTGCAGGCCATAAACGAGAGGCCAGCCGCGACGTTCAAGAGGGGCCTGGTAGTAGGATTAGGACCACTTCACCGAGGGAGGACGCCCTTACATGTGACGAAGTCTTGTCCGTTGAAGTGGATTCCAAAGTTCCAGTGTGTACAGCTGATGCTCTTTTGGCGTCATTCCTCCAAAAGAAGATGCAGAAAGAACTTCCTGCAGTAGGTAACCCACCTGATGTTCAGCAAGACATAGACAAGGCTAAGGTCACTGAGTGGGAAACTTTGCTTGGGAAGGGTGCCATCAAAATTTGGAAAGGAGCCGACGCAAAGAGACTAGCTGCCAAGCACCCTGATCGTTTCATCGGTAGCCGATTTGTCTGCACCCGCAAGACTGAGGAAGAGGGCACTCGCACAAAAGCAAGATGGTGTTTGCAAGGCCATTCAGACCCTGACTTCAAAGACAAAATTAACAGTGGTTTGTGTCATAGCCCCACACTTAGTCAAGTTGCCAGAGCTCTCGTCCTTCAGATCATTGTGTCCAAACGATGGACCCTATGCCTTGGGGACATTAAGGGAGCTTTCCTTGAAGCCGGTCCTCTGAATAGTCGTTTCAGACCGCTGTTTGCCCGTCAGCCATGCGGTGGAGTGCCCGGTTTGGATCCATCTGACATTATTGAAGTAACTGGGAATGTCTATGGCTCAAATGATGCTCCTTTCAACTGGTATCAGGAATTCAGTTCCAGTGTCCAAGATCATGGTTGGAGTAGATCCCAATTTGACAGCTGTTTGTTTTTCCTGCGTGGTCCAGATGGAGAACTTCAAGGGGTTTTAGCGGCTCATGTAGATGATACCATAGTGGCCGGAGATGGACCGATGTATGAAGAAGCTGTTCGCAAATTGAAGGCAAGGTATCCCTATCGGAAGTGGAGAATCGGCAGTGGGGAGTTCTGTGGTATTCAATTTCAGCAGTGTCCCAAGACCTTTGAAATTCGGTATCACCAGCAAGAATATGCTCGCCATTTACGTCCAATTTCTGTTTCCAAAGATCGACTGAAGAACAAAGACTCACCAGCCAACGACCGGGAGGTTGCAGCTCTCAGGGCAATCAATGGAGCAGCGAATTGGCTCTCAAGCCAGAGCCGACCAGATCTCTGCACGCAGACGTCCTTTAGCCAACAGTGCTTCCCAGAGCCCAAGGTAAAGGATTTGTTGTTTGCCAATCAGTTGGTTCACCGTGCCAAGCAATATTCAGAAGTTGGAATCACAGTCAAGTACATTCCTTGGGATCTTCTTGCAGTGTGTTTTCACTCCGATGCTGGGTTTGCCAACTCTGGTGCCACGTCCACCCAAGGGGGTTTTGTGATTAGCTTTGTGAACAAGTCATTAGACAAGAACGAAGCGTCACCATGGTCTCCTGCGGTGTGGAAATCTATGAGACTCCCACGAGTTGTTGCTTCCACTTTGGGGGCAGAGGCACAGGTGTTTTCACAGGCAAGTTCCTTGGCTGAGTGGATCGCTCTAATGGTCACCGAGGCCAAGCAAGGATCTTTTGATTTGAGAGATGTAGCCAAGATTGCCGATCAGCCGTCACTCCGCTCCAAAATCTTTTGCACTCCGATTATAGGTATAACTGACTGTAAAAGTTTGTTCGATCACATCACGTCCCTGTCCTCAGTAACCAAGTGTGATGACAAGCGAGTGGCCATCGATTTGGCGATCATCAAACAATGTTTGGGCCGCACCACTCTGTCCATCAGATGGGTACCAACGCACCTGCAACTGGCGGACTGCCTGACCAAAGACAAAATGGATCCATCGGACTTGCTCCGAGCTGCGCTAGACATCGGCGAATATCAGTTGAATGATGAAGCCAGTGTTCTTGCCATGAAAAAGAAACACAGAGAATTTCGCAATCGAGTTCGTCAAGCACAAGAAGCCGAAGAAAGCCAACACAGACTCCGAAAAGCCAACTAATTAAGTGGTTAAATATTCCCCAGATGATTCTATGCCTCACTTTGCGTGTAAGATGTTGATCTTGCCGTGGGCTGCAAAGTAGGTGAATCGCTGGAAATGCAGTGTACAATCCTCAGTTTTGCATTCACAATTTTGTTGCGTAAGCGCAGTGTTTTTCTCAAAGCCAGTGTCCCACAATCCATTTCTGGTTTGCATCTGCCCAACACTTTTTGCACGTTTTTGGTGAAGTTTTGACCGGATAGAGCAATGTCTCGCAAAGTCATGAAAGTCGCAGCTGTTCCCGAAGAGGCCTTGCAGCTGCTCAGATCTCTCAGTGAGCAAGGTGTGCTCCAAGAAGCCTTGCGTCAGATTATGGTCCCTTCTGGCTGCTCGTCTATGAGCGATGCTTCGAAGCGCCGTGGTGATGATCTCTCTGAGCCTGATGAGTTCCAAGTGATCGCTGACTTGGATGAGACTGGTGGCAGCGATCAGAATACCCAGGTGAATGGAGTAGAGGTCATCATTCGGGGAATCAAAGCCCCTGAAGGAATCCCTGACCTCCCCACCTGGGGTCGCACAGTGTGCACGTTGCCGAAGGTAGAGAAACGCAATGTCAGCTACAGCGAGCTGGTGCAGGAAGCCAAAACCTCCACCGAGATGCTGAACTACCTGTGCTGGGTGCGCAAGAATCCTCAGATTTCTGCCAAAGTCAAGGACTTGAGTGATTATCTGAAAGCCGCTGGAGAACGCATGACAGACGAGCAATCGGCTGTTCCCTCCTTCGGGTACTATCCTGGTTCCACGGAAGTTCGCAAGCTGAAGTAGACCAGCTGGTGTTGAGATCTTTATTACCATTGGCCGGATGCCAATGAAGGGGGTGATGAACACCCTTGGGAATTTTTGAATTTAAGAGTTTAAGAGGGATGTTAATTGCATGAACCACTTTCATCCCTGGGCAGTGCATTCACAGGTTGACATTCGAAGGACCCTTTCGGCTGAGAAAAGGAGCCAACTGCGTGACTGGCCCCGGGTGGGGCAATGCTATCCAATTGACATATATATATATACACATATGTATACAATGTAATCCTGCTCAATGGACTTTTGATCTTTCATCCGTCCAGCGCGTTTGCTTGTTTGACCGTGACATTCGTAATCATCGCTTGTCCTCAAGGCAGAGCTCGTGATGCAATTTGTGGTGACAAAAGACCAGGTGATCGCTTGTTGTCTGGACATTCTGTGTACGTTTCGTCTGATTTTGCGCCTTCACATTCATCGATTTCCCTCAATATTCCACAATATTCCTATGTTTCACATTGTTTGCTTATCTCTCCTCAGATGACATCAGGACGCTGGGTGGGAGCTGGATTCGTAGCCCTGGGTGTTTTTGGCTTCTTTGAGTCAGAGACTCTTGCTGGTTCACGTTGGTTCACGTTCATGCGGAGTTGCCAAGTGACAAATCCAGCATCACAAAGTGGATCGCCACCAAGGGGTGATGATGCCCATGGCGACTCCAAGAGGCCTTTCGTTAGCCTCGGTAGCCCTGAGTTTTCTGGCTTGGCCTAGGGATGCCTAGGGCCTATTTGGCGTTTGGAAAGTTTCAGGGAACTTTTTGAGCTGCAGGCAGTCCAAAGGATCCTTGAACCGGGTTGGGGAGCCTGGAAATGCTAAGATGGGCAGTGCCATTCAACAGAAGAAGTTTTTCTATGCCTCGCATACGGGAGTCTCAAAACAGCATTCCTGGAATCGGCCCACAAACAAATGGTGTTGCCTTGAGCGACAGAGCTTGTGACTCAGAGAATACAACATGCAGATCATCGGAGCTTGAATACTGATTGTCGTTGTTTGAAGTTGCTCGAGTTGCATCGAACTGCAGGGGCGCCGGCGCAAGAATGATCCTGATGATGCTTTAAAACGCCTCCTGTTGGAGGCGAGGATCCACCTTTTTGATTTTTGCAGGTGACATTCTGTACTCTCATGATCTGCATGTCAATCTGTTGCTTGCAGGGTCCTGCGGAAGATGATTCGATTAGGAGGAAGTGGCACCCCGCACCCTGCACCCTGTTTGCCACCCATGTCCCTGTGTCCAGGACCATCTCCGATTGGTGGGAGAACCTGCCCCTCGTTGGCCAGTCGGAGTCAAGGAGGAAGCGGAGACAGAGAGAAGAGGCATCGGCGACGTATTTGGTGCAGAAATAGGCAGCCTTGAAGCAAATTGGAAACAAATTATAGTGAGATTGTGTGACTGATCTACATGGAAGATGATGGAAGCCCCTGACTCTGAAGGTTCCCGAGCATGGAGAAGCTGATTCCATTCGAAGGACACACTGTGGTTTGAGCTTTGACACTTCTGGTGGCCGTGAGGTCTGTGCAGCAATGTATGGCTGATTTTACCAACATTTCCCAACCAGTACAGTCGGATTCACCATTGCTGGAGCCAGGAGTATCTCTGAGTGGTTTGAAAACCTCTCCTTACCTGGTCAGTCCGACTCAAAAAGAAAACGGAGAAGGGAACATGACGAGGCCAGCTCAATGGGGTGGTGAATGCAACAACTGCAGACAGAAGCAAAAACCCCATAGATATCTGAACAGTAGCAGCTGGATTTGACAGGAGCAGAGCCCAGCATCTGGTGAAGATGCTGAATCAGGCCGATTGGACATGATTGGACTGCACAGGTTCTATCGGAGCTTGCTACAAACGTTCTGCCTTATCATTGCCCTTCAATTTCAGTATTCAGGACATTAAGGGGACTTTCTCTGGAATGGACAAGAAAGCCTTGCTTCTGTTCAATTGCTTTTACTGCTACGGACTGTCCGCAAGGAAGTTGAACACTGTACTTTTTTTTTTTAATTTTCGAACGTCTCTGGCCAACACCGACATTCACCCAACGGCGTTCCTATCCAGAATTACAAAAGCTATAAAGAGGGATCAGGTCCTGTGGGTCGAGGATTGACAGGTGCCCTTGCGCCCCTGGTCCCTGACCTAGTCCATCACGGGCTGATTGTTGTGGCTGGCAGGCATTTTTAACATCCTCGCGTCTGTGAAGACCTCGGTGGTGGCTGCAGTGATGGGCACAGGCCGCAGGATCCTCAAAATCATCCGTGCTTTGGTAAGCTGAGTAATTGGTCTTTTCTCTAATGAGTGGCAGCAGATTACAATAATATAATATAATATGATATAATATAATATAATATAATATATAATATAATATATAATATAATATAATATAATATAATATATAATATAATATATAATATAATATATAATATAATGTATAATATAATATATAATATAATGTATAATATAATATATAATATAATATATAATATAATATATAATATAATATATAATATATAATATAATATAATATAATATATAATATAATATATAATATAAAATATAAAATAAAATAAAATAATATAATATAAAATATAAAATATAATACATATAATATATATAATATAAAATATAAAATATAATATATAATATAATATAATATAATATAATATATATATATTACATAGAGAGAGACTTCCAAGGTGCAGAGGAGAACAAAGCGCAAGAAGAAGCAAAGAAGGAGCCAAAGGAGCTCACTCCTTAGTTTGAAAGCAAGGTGTGCATAGGCCAATCCAGCAACTTCTGAGGTCCCTTGCACAGTTCTTGCCGGAGTTTCCAGCACCTACAGGTGCACTCTTTGCATCACAAGATGAAACAACTCTCTGGCCGCCGGCCCAAGAGTTGCCAGGCCTTTTTAGTCAGGAAAATAGCGATCCTGCTGTCTCCTCAGCGGCGTTGGCGTGTTGGCTGCGGTGCTGAGAAATTTTGGCCTGAGGACACCAGTGAAGCGAAGGTAGCGAGCACGGAAAAGGAGGAGGTCCCAGAGCGTCAGCAAAAAACTGAGCCTTTGATTTAGATTCCTTACGTCCTTCAGAATCACAAGGAAAATGCCGAGAGAAGTTTGGCCTGCCAGGAGTCAGAGGACTGGTGGCAAAATGCCCAAGCGGCCCTTGGAATGGTTACGCCCTGAGTTCTGATTTGATAGTCGAATACCCAAGAAATGTTAGAGCTGTGGCAGCACCATCACTTCACTTGGCAGACTCAAAAAGATGAAGAACCTGAGCAAGCAAAGCTGGAAGAAGAGCAGCCAGTGGAGGAGGAAAAAACCATAAAAGAAGAAGAAACGTGTGAGCTTTAGAAGCTTGAGCTGCTCGAGTCACTTCAGATGATTCGACCTGGACCTATTTGTATACCAACTACACAGTACTGAGAAATTTGAATAGGCTTGGGTCTCATTCTACGGTCTAGCCCCTTCTGAATTTAAGGCCTGCAGAGGAAGAAGAGATTGTGGCAACATCAGAAGCGTTGGGAGCTTAGGTGGTTCGCAGCAAAGTCTTTGAAGTGTGAAAGCTGGGTTGCACTGGGGCTCGGAAGGCCTGCCATCAGTTGAACACTTTTGGCAGGCTGGAGGAAGAGGAGGAAAAGCAAGTGGAGCAGAAAGAAGAAGAAGAAGTCAAGGCGTGTCAGACATTGTCGATGCAAATGGGGCTATGAAGAAAACTTGAAATTTGATTTGCAAAAGGCAGAGGAAAGTGAGGAAGCGTGCGGAGCTGAGATGCAGATATCCCATTTTCTGGCATGGGTGTGCAACGCTTTTATCTCAACATCATGTGCATTCATCCTTGAGTTGTGAAGGCCAGCGGAGGAGCAACAAGAGGAACGCCCACCACCTGAAGCGCCTGTGCCCAAGTTTGAGGACTGAGGATGCATCAGACATCACCGGACTGCCTACTTGACAACGATACAACAGTCTGTTGAAGCATTCCAACTAAGGCCAGGCATGGAGGATGCCAACCTCATCGTGCGTGTCGACATTGAACCGAAGAGACAAAAAGTGTCCAAAGGAGCAAAGGCTCGCTCCATGCTGGACCATCCTTGGATCATCCTTGGATCATCCTTGGATCATCCTTGGGCCAAGTTGCCCTTTCTAAGCCCCAGATCTGCCAGGCTATAGAGAACCTCATGTCCAGACCTGACCGCGAAGTTCTCGAGGCGCGTCCGCACGTCCCTGGCCCTGGATGTTTTATTGCACATGGAAGCAGACAGATGAACTGCCCAGGCCATGGCTCAGGAAGGATGGGAGGCCACAAATGTGTTGTGCTGCTGAGATATTTGGGAAGAAGTTGTTGCTGTTGAATGCTGTTGATATCTATGATTCGTCTATGATATATTGTGATACCAATCGGAGTCTGTTCTTACTCTAATTTTTTCCTGTGCAGATTGTTTTTCGCCCAGGTGGAAGTAGTTGATGAGTGGTTGGCCCAGACTGCGAATCATGTCACGGAAGAAAAACATGATGAAATGACGTCGAATCATCATTTTTCAGACAACTGTGCTTTCATGAGGTCCAAAGGTTTGTACATGTTGTCGCTGCCGCTGGTGCCTCAGAGTGTTTTGAGCAGAACGATGAATGGAGCCCTGCTAAAAATTGTTATACGGAAGGTCACAGGGACCATAACTTCGATTCGTGCTTAAATTGGAGAGCACTTTCCTGCTTCCATTCCCTCTGGATACAAATAATGGAATTCTGGCGGGTTCCAATTCCTGTATTTTCTGAGGCCAGTCCTCTATGAGGTAATGGGCACAAGTGTTTCCATTCCAGCTTGCATCCCAGAAACATGATCTTTTTATGATACGTTTTGGAAGATTGGCACATGCTACTTTCTTTAATTGCAGCACTCGTAGGCTAAACTTGACCCAGCAACCCAGCGCCTTGAGACTAAATCGACTTTCTTTGGAAGTTGGTAGTTTGCAGATTGTTTGCAGATAGTTTCCTCCACTCTTCCCAGCAGCCTTGCTTTATCCCGCGCGCAAGGCCCCACGCTTCCCAGAGGGAGAACATCCAAATTTAAGGACCCGTCACGACCCGACAAACTGTTCACAAACAAAATCATCCAAAAGCAGACCGACCTGAAGATGACCTGAAGACTATTGAAATATCTTTAAATAGTCTTCAAATCTTTTTGAATTCGTGTTTCGCTGCATAGCCGTTACTGACTTGTGCAGGAGCGACTGGAGGGAGACCTGGTTTTGCAGAATGGCGAAGGAATCTTCACCCTTCAGCTGGGTTTTCCCTTTAGGACCAAGCTGAAGCCTCAGATGTGCCGACAGTTGGCCAAAGCTGTTGTCTTTTTGCTGTAGGCTTGGGATATTTGTCAATTTGTTAATGCTCCCAACTGCAGACTGCATGGGACTGTTGAGATGCGGCTGGACGACACGTGCGCCGCCGCAAAGGCTCTGCATTTCTGCTGCTGGCTGGACGAGGGCCAAAGTGGGTCTGGACCCTTGAACACCGGCATGCGACTCCGTCACTGAGACACTGCATTGCATGGTCCTTTGCATGGTGAGTCGCATGGTGAGTCGCATGGTGCGTTGAGGATTTGATGATATTTGATGAGATGTTGGATAACTTTTGATTCGATATCGTTTGATGGTTCTTGCATGTTGCTGGATTTAGGCTCCGAAGGCGATGAAATTCTCTCATCCAACTTCGTAGAGGTCGGCATCCAGCTTCCCAAGGCCGGAGCTGCAGTTCCGCCAGTTGCAGTTTCGATAGCAGCCCTCAATATCTCGCGGTGTCTACTGTGGTTCTTGGAGATTCTCGGGCGCTTGATTTTCTTGAAAGGTTCCTGGCCTGACCAACATCATGGAGTACTTTGTGAAGAATTACGGCACACAGCCTCATGGCTAAGATAGACTTTTGTAATCATGCTGTGAGACCAGCATTTGACGGCGCAACTGTAAATCAAGCCGCTTAGCCTGTCTCCATGAGGGAAAGGTGCTTGAAACTTCACCGAGGTCTACGCAAGAATGCACTGATGCTTTGGCAAGAGCAGCAGAGCGACTGCCAGAGACTGCCACTTAGTCGACTTGGTCGAGCTGTGAGGCGACATACCCAGTTGACACTCGAAGTTTTAAACGCAAGTGAAGAAGCTCTGTGTCCTGAGGACACCCTTGCAGAGCATCGAAGACACAATGAAGGAGACGCACCTGGCAATCTCGTTACTGTGCTGCTGTCGTTTCTGATCTTTCGGTGTGGAGGCCAATGTGCACTACGTCTGAGGGTAAGCATGGGTAAACGGTTCTGTGGGATTTGGTGGGTCAGCGTTTCATTCAAGATCCTGTCCAGGAGTTTTTAAAGCCCTTGACCGATCCAGAAGGGAAGGAGAAAAAGCTCGTAGAGAGCAGGTCTGGCCCTAAAGTCTTCTTCTCCTTTGGTCATTCTTGAAAGCAATGTCTGCAAAGGCCTGGAAGGCCGCCAACCTGAGCCAAGTTTGTCTGTGCGCGTCTCAGCTGACGTGATGCCACACGTCACATCCTGGTGCTGCGTTTTGTGGAAGAATCGCCAGGTTGGAGGTTTTGGGCGCACATCGGGTTTCACCACTTTCATTTAATTTTCTAAAAAGGCATATCAAGGCATAATTGTTTAAATGTGCCTCGAAATGTCAAGATAGAGTAGTGGTCTTTCGCTGCGGCGATGCTTTGCTTGAGCCGCTGGAGAAGGATCTGAAAAAGGACCGTCGGAGAAATCTCCAATACATCAAACACACACACACATAAATCATCATGAATCTATATAATGTACCTGTCTGTCTGCCTGTCTATCTATCTATCTATCTATGTATGTATTTATCTATCTATCTATCTATCTACCTATCTACCTAGCTATTCGTGCGTCCGTCCATCCATCTAACTATCTATCTAAAGATACAGCCATTTCAGACATGCCCGCTTTGATAATGGATGTGTTGCCTCACTTGGTGATGCAGTTTGACAACCATGTTCAAGTCATGATGCAGCGGAACTTGAGCTCTTTCTGAAGTAAAAAGACTTTGCCCTATCCCTATCCAGGAAAACTGCAGTCCCCAACCCCAATCCTCCTATGGCACCTATACCTATGATACTTGGCAGCAAAAACCTTCACGTTCCCAGTGGACAGTGGCATACCCAGACACCTACTTCCACAGCTTCAATAATATCCCCATGCAAGCTTGACATTTTTGAAATCAGAATCCTATAGCTGTCCTTATTCAAGGATTCTCATTGATGATCGTTTTTCTGACGACTGCCTGCCATAGATTAAGTTGGGATGTTACCCATAACCCAAAGGCCTCGCTGCTATGTATTCCAAGAGTTCGGAACTCTTATTTTTCATGATGGCACTCTTCTGGTGGAAGCCCCATTTTGGCTGCAGGTCTACTAGTTCGCTTCAGCCCTGCACTGTTCATCATGTTGGATGATTGAGGGCAGGCTTGATGACTCAAGCCCAAATGAGATGACAGGGGTCAAAACTCTCAATCCCAAAAGGAAACAGTGGAGAACACATGGCGGCTGCAAAGATTCGTAATTTTACTCTTCGTCTCATAGGTTTTCACTGAAAAGACATCAGGCGTTCCTATAAGGCGGACGAACGTTTCTGCTTCTACTCATCAGCTTGCGCGATGAAGTCCTTCCGAGGCACACTTGACAACGACCAAACACGTTTTTGCAATTTCATGAGTACCGTCAACAAAGAGGACGAATCACATGGAATCATGGCGTGTTGCAGGAAAGATTTGTGTTGAATCTGAACGAAGCTTGCTGTTCTTGATACAAGCGAGTGTGAACTTCAGCTCCTGGAACTTCGCCAGCTGTGTCGCTTGCCCTAATGCTGCTTTCTGGTGCAAGATCAGACCCGTTGCTAAAGCCTCAATTGGTGCCATTGTAGATTTCTCCGGAAATGAAACAAGCAGTTGCCATGGCTGGGAGGGTCAGCCCACTTTACACTTTACACTAAGGATTCAGATTCCTCCGCATATCCAGACCATGGAGTTGAGCACTCCAAAGCCAGTCAGTAGCTGTGTTCAAATCTTTAAAACCTGAAATTACTCACTTGAAGTTCATAGTAGCACCTAGCAGCCTAGCATCTATGTTCGGGAGATACAACGTCTGTGTGCTTTCTTTCCAAGGTCACTGAAGCGCAGATGCAGGAATTCAAGCAAGACTTCGTTGATGTGGACTTCAACAAGGACGCTTTCATGTAGATTCTTGATGCATTTGCATTGGGTTCAAAAAGCCCACATAGAACCATGCGCACACACAGACAGAGACGACTGCGCAGAAATACTCAACCATCTTATTTCAAGCAATCAGACCATGGCCTGGATTGTAGAAGTATTCTATGTGCTTCCAGGATGATCAAATGGATGCGCAAGAGGCCGATGGCCCAGCTGATCTAGTGCTTTATGATCCCAGAACATGGCTATGCCGCTATGCATTTTTTTTGTTTCCACGACGTTCAAGGTTCATGCTCCCACTGAGGTTCGGGCCCACTTCAAGGGTGGCATCTCAGACGTCGAGCTGTTTCAGTTCTTCTTGGATTCAGACACAGACAAGTGGCTGCAATGATTTTGTCACGGGCCGGGCAAGCTTGAGATGGAAGTTCTGGAAGGGGTTGTATAGACTTGAAATGCCACCATCTATGCCATCCTGCCTTGTCAGCTTCCAACCCAGGACAGATCTGGCGATGTCTCCTTACAGGAGTATGTGGACTATGCAGCGATGTTGGGCTGAGAAAAAACTTGTGAATATCAGCACTTCTCAGTTGGACTTCAAGAAATTCTTGAGTCTGACCTGTCAACATTAGTATCTTCAGTGCAATGGTTTTGCGTGGCAACCCCAGGGCTTGCATGGAATCCATTTCACCTATGCATTTGTGTCACTTGTGCGCTGCATCCAGTTGTTCCGCGGATTTGTGGTTCAAGCCCTTCAAGAGGGTCGGGGCGATCAGAGCCCAAGGGGAGATCCGGTGGGTGTTTTGCCAGCCATCCCACCAGCTGGAGATTCTTATGTTTGCAGCTCAGAGCCTGTTGGTGAAGGAATTGCTTTGTACACTGTATAGCCTGCAATCCAAACATGTCCAAACCACTGTCTTGGCAAAACCGGCTGCTTTCCGTGCTGTTTAGGGCAAGTCTTGTTGCTTTGCAAGGGAAGGTATCCCACGAAAGCCTGTGAAGGTCCTGATGTCAAAGAAAGTGGTGACCAAGAAGAAGGCACACGTGGATGACAAAAGCCAATGAGCGCGTATTGAACATGAATTCGCAAGGGAGCAGCATGTTGAAAAAAAAACGTTGTGAGAAACATCCCCCTGCTTGTCAGCAGTTTGGAGTTAATGACTGAGGAATATGCCTGCAAGACATTTTCAGGATATACGGATATGTTCTGCTTTTTCGTTTCAAATTGTAAACATTACCAGCAGACCAGGCGCAACCGCCCGGCGTTCCCGGACTTCCGACTCCGGTTAACGGGAATTCGGGCGTAAGCGTCCTGAGCTCAGGAATTCTTCGTGGGCCTCCTTGTCCCAAGATGATACAGAACTTTATCTTGGCTTGAGATTAAATAAGTGTAAATATGCAAAGCTTAAAGTGGCTTGTGCCTGTTTTCACTTGGCGTGCTCCCAAGTGCTGCAAATGAATGCAATTGAATTGCGAGCTTTGTTCTAGAATCTAAAACAAACTGCATAATTCAGGATATTCTAGAATTCATAATTCATCAATCATTTTTCTTAACAGTCTTAACGTTTAAGATCTCGAAATGGGTGCCTTGCTCAAGGCGCCTAACAAAGCTCGTGTGGCCCAGCAGCAGCGGGTCCTTGAAACAGCCAGGGACTTGCGGCCCAAAGAAGTCGCGGATGTTTATGTATTTCTTATTTAAGGGCTGCCGCCCCTGCGGCCGATCCCGGAAACCAGCCAGGCACATCCCTAAATCCAAAGTTGCAGATTTGGTTGTAGATCCCTAAATTCGACCACCACCTTAAAAGTGACCCAAAACCTGGTGCCCGTGGCCACGATGGCCACTTTTCAGGCGCCGCCTGAGGCGCGGAGGTCACTTCCTCTGGCTCCGACAGGACGGTGGTCGCTGCCACTATCTGGCCACAGGAGCTAAAGCTGGAATTCACCAATGTTTTTTTGCTCTTTGAAAGGTATAGCGTTCCCCAGTTATAGATGCTTTAGTGGATTTATCATCTAATTCAGTGGGAAATACCATAAAACCATCTGGGGCTGACTTGAGGTATTCAACCCGGAGGAATCGGTCGATGGTCAACCGCTCTGGTTAAGCTTCAACTCTGATAATACAAGCAACATCAGAAGTCTCCGCGTGGAAACCCAAAAGGCTTTGCTCTTAGAGTACTACCCGATCTACCCGATACAACTCACTACTTGCACTTGTCTGCAAAACGTCCATCAGCAATTGCCAAAAGGCTTTATTCGCACTCATGCCTTACTTGCGGAACCCGCATCCAAAGCGCCAAAGCGTCAGGACGAATTCGGAGCAAACACAAGCAACCCAATGGCCGCACGTGCCGCCGAACACAATGGCATACAGGTTGACCACGAATAAGCACTTGAAATAATTCGAAACTGTTGCTGTTGTTGTTGCTGTTGTTGTTGTTGTTGTTGTTGCTGCTGCTGCTGCTGGTGTTGTTGTTGTTGTTGTTGTTGTTGGGGAAAGAAACCTCTATTCCCTAGCCCGCTCCCCCTTGCTGCCGGCCGGGGTCGGCGGATTATTTCACAACATTTATGCTTTTTCAATTTAATGGTTTTATTATTTTTTGAACGTGATTTTGTCCGTTGGCAAACAATTCCATGGACTTCTTTCGGTTCTTTGGCTTCTGGGACCTGCCGAGTTCTGAATTGAGGTCGGAAGGCACGATGGAGATCACAAGATGCTCCGCACTTAGGGCGCTGAGCGAAGGGATTGCAACAGCACCTGCAACACCGGGGATGATGGGTGAGGTACTCTCCACGAACTGACGGCTTCATCCAGCAGCTGATACTTGGTCCAGGTCGAACCAGGTTGCGGATGTTGATGTGATGGGATCCACGGGGCTCCGCAACAGTTGGAATGTCATTTATGACCCCAGCTCTGGTGATGCGATTGCCAGGCTGCCACTTCAGCAATGCGTCGGATGAATATTCACCACTGATTTGTTGAGGACTGGTGTCCTGGACTTTTACCAGTTCTCTGCTGCAGACATCGCCTCATTGGTGCGAAAGTGCCACTACGATGAGTCTGGACCCCCAATGCACCAACCGTTGCCAACGAATCACCTGTTGGTCATTTCGAAGCGCTGGCAGATTATAATACACTGGATGTTGGATGCATGTTTTGCGTAAGTCCTGGGAGATTTTATTGAACGTGAGATCCCAAGGATCCAAATTCAGATCGCCGTTGCTAACATCATCGAGGCAAAGACACCGCGCTACATGCGAATCGGGTATGAGCAATCATGAGCATGCATGTTGGCTCCGCCATGTCTTTCAAAGAATCGAAGACGCTTGTATGTAGTGCAAGCAATGTAGTTCTTCGTCATTTTCATGGTCTCGAGATAGTTCTTGATGCACGTCCGCACTTCCGTTCTACAAGTTGCACATGCAATGTCACAGTCTGAAAATGGTTTATCTTATTTCCAGGATCGTGCCAATCATGAGCAAGAGCAGTGGGACACAGTGAAGAAAAAGAAGCAGGTCAAGGCAGGCTGAACGGACTGAGGTCGTGCAAGTACAAAGATTCATGAACTTGGTACCCGTAGTCATGCTATGTCATGCGGTGCGACAGACTCACTGAAAACCAGACATGGTGTCATGAGAGCCGGTGGCTTGAACTGCATGAGGAGGAGAAGAAGATGAAGGAAGCTGCTCAGAAGAAGATTGAGGAAGATGTGTCACTTTTGTCCTGCTGAACATGGCACTTTTGTATCATGATGATGATCATGATAATCATGGTGTGATGATATTTGCGATGATATATGTGATGATGACGACTATGAGGACGATGACGACGATGCTGATAGGTTCATGGAGATTATTGCTGTTGTACTATATACTCCTGTTTGAGAGGTGTTGAACTCGAAGTGCCTGTGCACTTGGCCCAAGCCTTTCTTAGGTGCAAGAGAGAGATACTGTTTGATTAAGAACCAATGTGCCAGGAGATGCAACACAAGCATGAAGAAGAGCCGATCGGAGATGTAGCAAGGTGGGAACCTACATTTCACCTACATGCACTACATTTCGCCTACATTTTCTACACATTTAGTGCATATTCAGAGGTTTGACACTGCTATGATTTACAATCAGCACACCCTTCCGATAGGCTTGTGATTGAGGAAGTGTTCATTGGCGAGGCCGCTTCCGGGAAGAGCCTGGAATCCTTTGGTAAGTGAGTTGTGAGTCGTGGGTTGCCTGCTTTGCTTGTGCAGGAGCAGGATGAGTGGAGCACTGTCAAGAAGAAGAAACAGGTGAAGGCCAAGCTTGGACATGTCAACCTTTCCTTCATTTGAATCAGGCGGCCACAGATGAAACTCTTTTAGCGTGCAATCTCTTTACGAGTGCATACTCATTTATCAGGAAGAGAAGAAAATCCAAGAAGAGAAAAAGATCAAGGAGGATCAAGAGCGGAAGGTCAAGGAGGAAGAACGCAAAGTCAAGGTGCACTCTTCCAATCAAGCCTCCAGTTGCTCAATCAAGTTGGTTGGTGCCTTTCACTCTGTGTCTCCTTGTCTCTTTGAATTTTTGTGCCAGGGTCCGTCAACCCTAGGGTGTTGTTGTAAGGAGCAACTGCTCAAAGAGGAAATTGAGAAGCAAAAGAAGCAAAACAACGAGAGGTGCCCTGAGATTGATCATTTTCATAGTTGCCTTATAAAACAAGATAAAACAAGCAATAATATCGAGAATAAGGTAGAATAAACAATAATTCAATTCACAAGGATTCCATTCAACACATATCCTTTGCAATTGCCTGGGCATTGTCCACTTTGCTGATCTTTGCTGTTCTAGGAAGGTGCCTTCAGAGGCTGGAAACTCCGCGACCCCGCCAAGCACCAATCTCAGTGGGTTCAAGTGGCTGAACATTTTGAGAAGCACCAATGAATCCAATAGTTGATCATAGTTTTCCCCATGAAAGTAGCCAGAAATCCGGGCATCTCCTTCTTTTGGGACAAACCCATGTGTTTTGTTGATGTTTGTTGGCTATATGTCGCTAGTCTGAGTCTCCGGAAGGATACAAGTTCTTGAGTCCCTTACCACCTTGCTCTAAATCACCAGATATCACCAGGAAGCTTTGAACTTAGGCCAACCTGGCAAAGGTACTGGAAAGGGTGGCAAGAACGGTTCCAAGAACGGCAATGCTACACCAGGTCGCTTGAGCGCGGTCATTGAGGAGATGGACCCCGGGGACAGTAGTACTCGAGGACTCTCAAGGGCTGGAACCCAAAGCATCAAGCCAGACTAATTAGTTTGCATAATGGCATAATCATTTGCATATATAGTCGGCCCAGACATGCCCAGACTAATTGCAGGTCTTGCTTCGATTAGATTCATTCGATCCTGCAAAAGCATGGTTCAAGAAAGCGTTTTGGGGGGGCAATCGACTTGTTTACCCTCCCTGAGACCTAGTCACAAGAGTTGTACAGATCAAAGAGTGTTGACATTTGTTTTGGAACTGTTTAGGGTTTAGGGTCTGCAAATAAGATAAACACTCAAAGTCCACAGAAAGAGGAGCAAAACTCACACACATACAGACAGACTTCGCTGGAGCAGGGAAAGCCTCTCCGCCTATGAAGCCCTCGGAGCCTCCGAAGCAGAACACGGTGAATGGAATCAATGGAGAGAATAAGGAAGGTCAGATTCACTTTTTCTTGCTTTGAAGTTACTTGAAGTTACTTGAAGTCTACGTGCTGGTGACAAAACAGATCAAGAAGGATCAACTCGTAGGGAAGTGAGCTGCTTGAAATGCCAGGTGCTGTCCTTCCAACAGATCCTGCCACTTTCTTTGCAGCTTCCAAGCCAGCTGGGGATGTTGAGTGGGTGACCCAGTTTGTGCAAGCCAAGGCTTCGGTTGTGAACACCTGCAGTTACAGACATGAATAATCTCAAGTGCAGTGTTTTAGAATTGCTTCAAGATATTCTTCAACATGTTTCAAGTTCGCCTGCACTGCAAGGACCGAACAGCCCACTGCCAAAGAGACTCCACAAAGTCACACAGCGCCAGCTGCACCAGCAGCAACACCTGCGCCACCGCCAGCCGCAGCAGCCCCGGCAGCTGCACAAACTGCACCAGCACAAGCTACACCGGCACCCTCTCGACCAAAGGGCGGCAGTGTGTGGAACAAGCCACCCACCTTTGCAGAGACCCGGTCCAAGAACGAGCCAACGCCTGCTGAGTCCTATCGCACAAAGCCACAGGCACAGCCGGCACCAAAGCCCAAGGCCGAGCCCAAGAACTCCGCGTCCCAGGCGGCCCCAGCGAGTCGAAAGCCGCAGAACAGCAACCACGATGGGAACTCGCGTCAGAACAGCGACAGCCACGGCTCACAGGGCTCCCACGGCTCACGCCAGGGTTCCCATGAGTCCAACTCCAGACCCAAAGCCGGTGCCCGATCCAAGCAAGACAAGAACGAGTGGTCGATGGCTTAGATTGGCTTAGCACAAGTCTCTTCCTGTGTTCCATGGAATATGAGCACCATTGAGCACCATAGAGCCTCTGCAGAAGAATCAATACAGCAACTGACAGCAACAGGACATCACATTTCATTCGCTTGCAAGAGCTCCAGCCAGGTGGGAAAAGAATGACTCCAAGTGGGTGCGCAGCTGCAGTTTTTGAGTCTTTGAGCATTGCCTTGCCATGATATTGTGAGCTCTGCGATTTCTTGGGATATTTTGGGATGATTTGCTTGTCATATCTTGGCATGTTTCCACTTTGTTTCACCTGTTTCACCTAGCTGGCCGCTGCTCAGAATGGTCGATGGGATTGGAAGAATTGGAACGACTGGGATGGCAAGGTCTGGCTCTCAAGAATACTGTAGTTCTATGTAGTTCTTATGATGATAATGATAACAGAAACAGCACAGCTTAAAAATCCAAAAAGATCCAAACAGATACAAAAAGATCCAAAAAGATCCAAAAAGATCCAAAAAGAGCCAAAAAGATCCAAAAAGATCCAAAACGATCCAAAAAGATCCAAAAAGATCCAAAAAGATCCAAACAGATCCAAACAGATCCAAAAAGATCCAAAAAGATCCAAAACGATCCAAAACGATCCAAAACGATCCAAAAAGATCCAACACGATCCAACAAGATCCAAACAGATAAAAAAAGATCCAAAAAGATCCAAAAAGATAAAACAGATCCAAAAAGATGCAAACAGATAAAAAAGATCCAAAAAAGATCCAAAAAAGATCCAAAAAGATCCAAAAAGATCCAAAACGATCCAAAAAGATCCAAAAAGATCCAAAAAGAGCCAAAAAGAGCCAAAAAGATCCAAAAAGATCCAAAACGATCCAAAACGATCCAAACCGATCCAAAAAGCACCTCATAGAAATTCGAGGCACCAGATGTGGCAGGGTGATGATGGCAATGCTGCAATCTTGGGCCCGCAGACTTCGCGTGATTTCTCCCTTCTTAAGGCTGACGGTGACTGGTGGAGTGGAGACTGGAAAAAAGGAGGTGGCCTTTCAGAGACCTTGTCACCAGCTTGACCGCAACATACTTCCAGGATTCAAAATTTGTCCTGAAAGGTGGCTGGCAATGGCAAAAGAAGAAGGATGACTCTCAAGGTGGAGATTCAGGAGTTTGTGATTCATCCACCAAAACTGGATGACTTATGCACCTACGATTGATGTCTTCAGCCAGGGTGGCAGCGGAAGGACAAGTCAGAAGCTGCCCCTAGAGGCAGTAGCTGGGGTTTTCTTGACAAAGATACAACATATACAACTTATGGAAAGATAATACATCATAATACTCTATAATACTCATAATATCTATATATTCAAATCTTATGAAGATACTTATGATAAAGATTGAAAGCCCGCTGTTTTGTGGCTGCTCTGAAGTGTGCAAAGACTGTTTTGAGAGCTCCTGAAGTCCAGCAGGTGATAAGCCGCAGGAAGACGCCGCTGCTAGCGGCGCCTGACGTCTCACATTGCCTAGCTCAAGGGCGTGGGCATTACCAGACCTACACAGGCAACACAGCCAACGCAGCCAACGCACTTTGCAACTCGCGGCATTTTGGGCCACTTGAGCTGGACACGGACAGTAGAGTCAATAGAGTAGCAGGGTGAGTTGGTGGGACATCCTCCGGCACTGCTTGAGGTGCTGGAGTATCTCCACGGAGTTTCGGCAAAAATTCGTCAATTCCAGAAGGAATCTAGCCATATGAATCTATATGAATCTATATGAATCTATATGAATCTATATGAATCTATATTATAGATCAACATCCTTCCAAATAGCAATCACCACGACAGGCATGGTTGAACTTTAGTGCTTGACACTTAATCTGCAAATGTCATACTAAGTTTGTTGCAGCAGTTTCGATTTGACTCTGAATCGGAGACTCCAATGTTTGCACTTCTCACCGCGTATCACGCGAAGCAGGGGCCTATGAGCCTAGAGATCCCCACAACTCAGCAAGCGCATCTGAGCACGCAGCAGAATCACGCGTGTTTCAAAAAAGGATAGGCTCGTTTGAAGGCTGAACCAAATATGATGTGAACTGATCCAATTGATGACCAACGATGATACACTCTTACTTCTCGATTCCCGACATTCCTTAACAATTTCCCATGGCAGCACGATCTTGAACAACCGAGGAATCAATTGTCGTTAAGAGGCCGTTGTGTCTGCTAGCTGATGATAGTTCCATTTTCTATGAAACTCTGATGTTTGAACGAAGAGCTTGTGAGGTTTGTTTCCCCCTACACAGGTGCACAGAGTCCCACACGGGTTTGATTTTCCAAATGAGTCTGTATGATCAGTATTTTTAGGAAAAGCGTCTGCCCATTGAATTGACATGCATTTGAATTATATGCCTATGCATATGCTCGTGGAATGTTACTGAAAAAAAAGGCATGCAACTGCCAGGGTTTGGTCATTGACTGCAGATTCAGTTCAAGGGGCGAGCGTGCACCGGGACGGGCCGCCCCAGCTGGACCAAATTCCCTATCTTGGCAAAGGACTCAGAGGTCCAGAATGGTCCGGTCCAGAACGGCCCTGGGCCTGACCATTTGCAGCTCATGGCCTTGCAGTGGAATCACATCACTGTGCACATGCATGCTGAAGTCATGCTGAAGTCCTGATTTCGGAATATTTTGGATGTTGAACCTCTTTTCCAGTCCATTCTTGGCTCATCACAAGGCTTTGCCATTGACCTGAGACAAGGTCCACATTCCTGATGTCCAAGAAGGTTGTCACCAAGAAAAAGGTAGAGCGCCCAATCATGTCCAATCAGCAGCAGCTGCGCTGCACCAGTGACCAGGCGCAACCTGCTCCTGCCACTTCGGTGGAAAATGGTACTCCTGCACCAGCAGCTTCAGCTTGATTCTCAGAATTTTTGTTAATACAGCTTGGGGAATGACAGAATGACCAATTTCGGATTTGCATGGATTTGGGGTTTCAACCTGTGGCCAAATGGATTTATCTGAAGGGTAGCCCAAGATTGACTGCTTATGACTGCTTCATCATCATTTCATATTCTTCCTATTGTTTTGGGCCATTTAAAAGGTATATTATCAGTAGATCGGTGACATCAGAGACCCGGCGTCGCTCCAGGCAACGACCGACGTCCGCGTTGCGCATCAGCTGCGAGTGCTGGAAACAGCTGAGCTCTCAGGGCAACATTTCTTATATTAGTGAAGATGACATGATTAAATTAAATCTATTTTATATGTGATACCAAATGTTTCAATGCCAATATTGAGCAATTTTTTTTGCTATTCCCAAAAAATGGGGGAGTGCTGAAAAAGACGTAATCAAGTTTGAACGAGCTCAAATAAAAAAAAGATACTGGGTTCAAAGATGCTGGCACAGAGATCTTTATGAAATTTGCGCGGGAATGTGATTCCGGTCCAGACTGCTGGTCTCACCTTTCTCAATCACTCAATTTGTCGCATCATGGAGAATCTCTTTCAATGGTGGCAAGATGAAAGTGGAATGAGGTTGCTGGTAAAGGCGAGGAGGATGAGAAGAAGCAGCCACCTTAGTTCAGTCTGTCAGTGATTGGAAGCAAGAATTATTTATATATATTATATACATACATATTATCACATTACAATGTTGTTACACACACACACACGCTATTTAGTATATTGCAATGTTTGGACTATATATATATGTATATAATACATTCATCTGATTGATTGAGCTTAATTGTGATTTGGCTGCCGAAAGCTTGGAACCTGGCTGATTTTGAACAGAGCAGCTTGAGGTACTCTCCTCGAACCGAAAGGTATATCCAGCAACTGCCAGCAACCAAGACTGGTGAAGACACTGCTGGAAAGGCACGTCATTTAAGTTTGACAAAGCTAAACTAATTACTTTAAATTGTGGTATTTTTAGCAACAGCTGAACTGCTTGCTAGCTGCTAGCTACTTGCTGTCCAACTTCTATGTGGCCTGCAAGAGCTGTGTACCCATTGGATGTTTGATAGACTATGCGAACAGTTGATTCAACCAGCGGGTGTCACTTGGAGCTGCGTGCTACGGCCAAGGACGGGCGTGCTCGATTTCTATGAGTACTCCCGAAGTGACATTGCTGGTTTAGTTCGCAGATGCCACTATGATGAGTTGGATGCCAAGAACTCTGCTGGTCACTAAAGCTCTAAAGACTCTAAAGCTTTGAGTTGTCTTCCTATCTAAAGCTTGATCTTCCTGGATTGCTGTGTCAGGAACCAAATTCAGATAGCTGTAGCCAACATCATCGAGGACAAGGGACAGTGAGTCTTCTGATGGTCAGGCTGACGCTGCTTCCTGACAGGACCGTGCAAACCATGAAAAAGAAGAATGGGGCACGGTCAAGAACAAGAAGCAAGCCAAGGTTTGCTGCTTAGCTTGCCGCCAATCGAAATGACTGTAGATTGAAGATATTGAAGGTCTTCTTTTCCACCTGCATTTGAATACTTCGAGTACTTGGCAAGGAAGAACGCAAGATTAAAGAGGAGGAAGAGAAAAAGGAGCAGGACTGCAAAGGTTTTTTTCGCGACATACGCAGGTTTCAAGATTTTCTAAGTTTCTGCGCTGTAGCTGCAGGAGAGGTTGCAGAAGGAGCAGGAGAAGCAACGCAGAGAATCTGAGAGGCTTGAAGAGTCGTGATGTGCCTTTCGGTATTTTTTTTGGTTTGCAAAGGTTTCTGGCATACATTGGAACCTAAATAGAGGCAGTGCTTTTGCAATATAATTACATGATGCGACAGGAAAGCAGCGAAAGAGGCACGGGAAGCAGAACGTTGCAAACTTAGACCGATCGGATCCTTCATCTCACAATATCTCGCTCTCGGTCCTTATTTGATCATCAAGGTGCCAAATGTGGTGGCGCCCTCCTTGGACCACAATGATTTCGATTCTGTGAAAACACAGCTGCACACTCTTCTGTTTTCACAGTCTAACGCTGGATTGAAAATCTCTATTAGATCTATTTTAATCTGTTATCCTTGAAGGGCAGCCTGTGTCGCTAGTGTCACAATTTTTGAGGCAAGGGTGGCAAGAACGGGACAGAGGCAGATGGTGGAGGTGAGATTGAAGATCGGTGCCCAGCCGTGAATCAACTTGAGGGACTGTGACGCCTTCAGTATAAGAACTATTTCTTGCACAATTCCCAGAATTGAAGGGGCACATTCTCCGGACCCCCATAATTTGATCATTTCGATCCAATTTGGGTGTTTCCTGCGGCCGCTGTGCGCAGCTTCCGCTCTTCCACCCGATCCTGCGATCCTGTTTGCCGGCGCCAAGCCCACGCAGAACGTAGAGTCAGTTGCTTGTGGGCCATTTCCGATGATCCATGTGGGTTCGTCCAAAAAAGGATTCTATATATATATACACATGTATATAATTACATATACATACATATATGTATATATACATATATATTATATATATACACATAATAATACATATATATATATACGCGATTGGCTTCTTGGGCAAGGCACACAATTTTTGGACAAACCCATTTGTGCAAAAAAATCAGGAGAGGACGACGATGGACGCAATCTATCGAAATTTCATAACATCTGGGACCAACACGACGTGACAACACTGCTGTTAGGTCCGACCAAAGTGCCTCTCAGGGAAACTGGCAAGAGCAGTGGCCTGGATCTCAGCTGCGCAATGCTTCGCTGCCACTGCTGTCTCTTCCTGTCGAATTGCTGAACAACCGAGGTGGGAAAACTCCGGTGACAAATGGGTGCGCCAAGCTGTGTGAAGTCAAGTGGTTTTGATTGAAACGTCCACTCTCCACTTTCGTTCATTATGGTTTCGCCATCAGTCCATCAGTTTAAAGTCTTTGGTTGAGGATGTTGAGGACTTGCTTAACCATCTTCAAGCCATTCTTAACAGCTAACAGCCTCCAGAATGCAGTCAAAGAATACCCACCGCTGGACAGAATGGAAAAAGCTGGGAGTGGCAAGAGAACTGGCAAGAAGACTGGAGCGAAAACAAGGCACGGTCGCAATTGTGCCGTCACGAAACACATTGACATCAACTACAAATTTGACAGACTTTTGTATGACCTACTCTGCATCCCCCCGCAGAACGGCGGCAAGAGCTGGGAATGGCAAGAATCCTGGCAGGAAGACTGGAGTGGAAATAAGGCACGGAAAAAACTGGTAAAACAGGGAAACTAGGACAGGACAGGTTGGAGGTTAGGTGGGAGGCTGTTATGTTTTTGTTCAATCTTGTAATCTGAAATGTTTGACTGTTTCTTTTTGATTATCCTGCTAAATGTTTTGTTGAGGTTGCTGTACTAATGCTTGGGTGCTATGATTTTATGTTGGTGTTCATGCTCGTTGGTTTTGATGTTTTTTCCTGTGGGGGTTCTGGGGATTAGTTCACTTCATTGTTTGGATTGAATGAAGGGGATAATTGTTGAGGTGGTCAGAGTTTCTATGTGTAGGTTCAGGTTCAAACTCTACCAAGCTGTTGTTCAAAGATGTCGAATGATTTGCTTCAAATTCATGTATTGATTGAGGTTAGGCGCTGTGGTTCCTGTTTGGTTTTGCATATCAAGCATCCTTCAATACCAAAGCCAGTTTGGCACAAATTGACTGAACCGATGTATTGTCCCTTTCCTTCGACATTCCGCAGATGCATCTTTGTGAGGCAGGTTGAGCTTGCGCCAGGCCGGTTCGTCCTTCAAGCGGTCATGCACGAACACAGCCCGCAAGGGCTTTTCCGGCGCAGACCGTTAAAACTGGTTGGACTTTGTTGAGCACAGGGAGCGTCGTAGTGCTGGTTCTCCAAGCTCTCATTCAAAGGTTCCTTCCTGGCTTCTTCATGAACAGGGCAGTGAGGAAGGCTGGGCAAAGGCTGGAAAGGACAGAGCCCGCCCCTGCACGGCCGGTCGAGGAGGAACACATCAAGGACTTCATCAATTCACCTCAACGTAAAGCTTTGAGCACCCCTTCCTTCTTGGTGGTCAGTGGTTCCCAAGGCATTGGGAAATCAACCATGCTGAACAATCTGAGGGTGAGCATGTGAAGAATGGCAAAAGGGTGCTCCCGCTCAAGATGTCAAGCCGTCCTGGTGAGGACTTGAAACTCAATGAAGCGCTGCCCAAAGCATTGCAAGCAGTAAATTTACCGCGATACTACCCAGAACAAGTGGAGTATATGCTGGAAAAGGTGAACGAGACGTGCAAGCGCCGAACAGGCAGTGCCGTCGTGGTATACCTGCAACTCACAACCAAAAGCCGCGGAGACAAATTTAGTAGGGATGCCTGTGATGACATTGCTTCCACCCTCGGTGCCTGCGCTCGCAACATCACCTACGACAATGCCGCGTGCAAGTTCATTTTGGAGGTCAGCGTGTCTGCCGTGGCCGACATCATCACCGAAAGGTTTAACATGTCAGATTTGGTGGTGGCGCGACCACTACCTTTCGAAGACTTCACGTCTGTGGTCAAGGAGGTGGCAAAGCAGGGAAACGACTTCCGGACGCTGAACAAGGTTCTTGCCGAAGATGACATGGACGAGGTGTTGAAGCACTACTACATCCGCACAGGGGGCAACTTCCGCGCCTTGGGCGAGATACTGCGAAACGTCTCCAGAGCAGGTCAGAAAGGTGCGGATGCGGTCATCGAGCGGGTTGAGCAGTGGTACAAGCGGAGGGTGGAACCAATTCAAAGGAGATTGGATGACCAGGAAGTGAAGGACTATCTCCTCAAGGTGGCAGGGGCAGGACCCATGGGGTATCTCCCAGAGAGCGACGAAGACACCAAAATGGCATTGAAGCTTCTTCGTGAGGAGCCAGCAGACTGCGTCCTGAGGAGTGCAACCAATGAAACTGTGGCTTTGAAGCATTGGCATTTCGTCGCCAAGCTCTTTGAAGAGGATGAGCAGAAGTTGAGGGACGCAGGATACATGTGAGCTTCGCCGGTGAAAAAAAAAACTGTGGCGCTTGAGATGTTTTGTGGGTGAGTCATCCAAGAGTAATTTTCACATATTGCATGCGTAACCGCAGATACCCAACCCTAGTATCAATGATACCCAGATACCAATATCCAAGTATCAACGATACCCAGAACCAAGCATCAATGATACCCTGATACGAGTATCCAAGTATCAACGATACCCAGAACCAAGTAACAAGGATACCGTGATACCAGTATCCAAGTATCAACGATACCCAGAACCAAGCATCAATGATACCCTGATACCAGTATCCAAGTATCAACGATACCCAGAACCAAGTATCAAGGATACCGTGATACCAGTATCCAAGTATCAACGATACCCAGAACCGAACAAGCAACAACAGACAACTCGTTTCACCCTGGACCTTTTTAGCCAAACCATCAAACACGGACAAATCGTTTCACCCTCAACTCTTGACAAAAGCATCAAACAAGGACTAGTCGTTTCACCCTCAACTTTTATAGCCAAGCCATCAAACACAGACAAATCGTTTCACCCTGAACTTTTGAAGACAAAAGATCCTTACTTCAACAAGTGTCCTAAAACCATTGTTTTAGCGTCCAAAAAACATCAATTTAGGACACTTGTTAAAAACACCATTTTTAGAGCAACAGACCCAAAAACACTTAAAGAAATGACGCCTTATAGAATCAAGAATTGAATATGCCCTGCTATATGTATATTAACGGTATGAAGCAAGAAATGGACGAAGACCTTTTTGACCAAATGGCGGAAGCACTACACCAATCCAGCAACCCTCAAAATCCACCAACCACAACATCCACAAAATGGAAACCCGACGGAACTTACGACAAGAAACCATTAGACCCCAATTATTTTTCAAAGTATTATCAAAAGAAATTATCAACCCCTTTCACCTGTCCAGACTGCGGACGAACCACAAGCAAATCCAATCTATCAAAACACCGTCAAACCAACAGATGTATGAACAGCAGACGACACTAAAAATAAAACCTTCTCATTAACAACGCTTTGTTAATCAGAATGTTTTATCTATCTAAGGGCTGCCGCCCCTGCCGCCGACCCCGGAAGAATCCGCAATGAATCAAACCAAATTGGCAAAAATGAAGGACGGAAAAGCATCAAAATTGCGCCCAAACACTCCCATCATCGTATTCTATCTTGACGATTTTGTAGGATTGATTGCTCCACTTTGAGTTATACTCCTTCCTCTCTCGGTGTAGTTGTCTTTTTTCTTCTCAAAGACCTTGACCATATCATTCACTTTGACCTCTGGATATTTGCGAGTGTTCTTTTCCCTCCTTGTCACATTCACCCTGACGTCCATATGGTTCTTGTCGTCGTGGGCATCCTTGGGTTTCATTTTGGTTGATGAATGGACGGTGTCGTTGTATTTATCTAACGCTTTGGACAACATCACAGTCCAACTACCGCGATTAAACCTAACTCTATCGTGTATCATATTTTCATTGTCCTTATGAAACGCTCCACAACATTAGCGTGTGTTAGGGTGACGACGTGAGTGATGCCTTCTTTCTCAAAAAAGTCTTTTACCTCTGCTTGGAAGGCACGGTCATTATCACTATAAACGGACATTGGAAAACCCATTTTGTTGAAACTCTCTTTCATCGCCGATAATGTAATTGGTCCGGATTTTTCTTTCATAGGGACGACGTTTGCCAACTTGCTAAAGATGTCAATGACCACCAACCCATATCTCGGTTCGACGTTCTTGATTGGAATTTTCGTCTCTGGTTCTTTGGCAAGGGGTTTCATATCCATTATGTCAATCTGATATTCAAACCTTGCGAAGGGCGCGGTGTAGGAGTTTGAACCCCTGTATTTTCTAATCTGTTTGTTGGGCTGTTTCCTCATAAAGTTTTCCACATCCACCCTGTTGATGGTCTGGTCTTGTTCCTTGGCTTTCTTAAGGGTCTCATTGATTGAACCGAAGCCCGTTTCAAGATTGTAATAGACATTGCTTATGATGTCATCTCGTGATGGTCTCCTTGCCATATGTTATAATATTAGATTTTTAAAATTATCAGCAATAAAAAATATACTTGAAGAAAACATACCTATATATAGTAAGACTAAATAAGATGACTAAATTTGACTGTGGATGTCGTATTATGACAGATGTTATAACCCTGAACGGAAGAAACCAACCTAATTGGAACTACTTGCTCAAAACCTTTGTGAATGTGTGTGGCAAGTGCTACAGGAAGCAAATAAAATTCCAATATATGGAAAACAAACTTATGGAAATGGAAAAGCAACGAATGGAAATGTTTATGGAAAATGAGGATGAAGAGCACGACACATACTTTGACCTGACAGAGTTGAAGGAACATCTCAAAACCCTCCCACCCAATGAAAGACACAAAGTGAAGGATTTTGAGAGGTTAAGAAACCTCGCCAATGGACAAGACCCCAATGAAGGAATGAGTGAAATTGATATGGTTATAAAGGAACTGGAAGAGGAGGAAAGGGAAAACAAAAACCAACCCGAACCCGAAAACTGAACGAACCCCAAAAAACTACTTAAAGAAAAAATGACTATATATATAGTAAGAGGATGCTATTTACATATAAAAACTGCGGATGTTGTAAGAAAAAAATGACTGACATTAAGGTTTTATTGAACAACATTTTTCCGGCTGGAATTTGTGATGAGATATGTAATTACAACCTTCACTGTTCTAAATGTAAGGACTTGAATGATAAGGAGCGCAGATACATAAATTTCAATTATCATTGTGACTATTTTAATGATAAAGAACTAACAAGAGTTGAAAAGCAAATATATTTCTTTAAAACAAGGATGGAGAAATCACCTATCTATTTGTCTAATACTAATCGGACAAACACTCGGCAAATGAAAAGAGAAATTGATGTTTTAATGGATACATCCAAACTCAAGCAAGAATTCAAACACAACAAACTGTTCTTAATGGCGATTAAGTCTTTTGTAAAAAGGGAGTGGAAAACTACCTATCACTTCCTTAAACACTTTCACGACCTTACATATATGAAGTATTGTAAGAACAAACGGGAGTGGTGGTTTCCTCAAAATGATTGGACTTATACATTTAGAAATAGGGAGTTTCAGGTAAAAGACATTTTGGAAATCTTCCTGCGTGAATACCTTGAAGAACTGTTCAAGGGTTATGAGAAATACTGTAATCTAACGGAAATACAAGAGCACCTATAAAAAGTGATAAATACTTAAAGATAAAATAACTATATATATATATAGTAAGAGAAAATGAGTAGAGCAAAAATTGAGGTTATAGATACAGGGAATATTGGTATATATGCTGACTTTGGTAGTGAAAGTGAAGATGAACACGAATATGATAGACAATCAATAGAAAAAGAAGATGAAGAGGTTAGAGACTTTGTAAAGTGTCATCCTATGCCTTCACCAGATGATGTTTGGAAGAAAGTAATTAACAGGTTGAAACACGACCAAGGATTAAATGCTATGATAATATATTCGTTTGTAAATTTTGACATTATGAAAAAGATGTATGAAAACCTCACTGATAAAAAGGTCATCGTTGATTGTGGTAAGGATCTTAACCGTGATGGAAATTGGGATGCTATGGCAATAAATCAAACTCTATTAGCATTAGCAATAGATGAACTGAATGATACAGACAAACCTATCACAAGTCAAATCAGGATAATTGAACACTGGTGGGATGCAATAGGAAAGTGGAAAGCATAAATGAACAAGACACCAAAATTACTTAAAGAACAAATACCTATATATAGTAAGAGAAAAATGCCAATGCTTGGAGTTAGTGAAGAGGAACTGAAAAGAGATAGAGAAAGATTAATGAATTTCATAAAAGAAAATCCGTATCCTGATTATAAATTTATAGAATATGACCTACTACTTAAGCAAGAACAATCTTTAGAGCAATACGCAGAGTATGGAGAGATAAACCACGACCTTATGAAAGAAATTTATGAAAACATAATTGATAAAGATTTAATCAAAAAACACGGTGGGAGGATACACCATAGAGGAGGAATGACAGACAGCATTACAACAAAACTATTATACACTATTAACAGTATTGAAACATTTAATTGACCAACAAGGACTGGATAGAGACACAATCATTTTAGTGTTCTACAACATTAAAACGATTGTTTCTCAATATTGGGATGGAATAGGTAGTGGTGATGAAAAGTGGAGACACTAAACCTAACGATTAATTCATAATATCTTAACAAAAATATATTATGACGTAATCACCCACCCAAACACAAACAAAAACCCCAACAGCCTAAACAAATCCTACCCCCATTCAATCCAAACATTATCACAACAACCTCAACAACACATTTAGCAAGAGAATCAAAAAGAAACAGTCAAACATTTAGATTTACAACATTGAACAAAAACATAACAGCCTCCCACCTGACGTCCAACCTGTCTTGTCCTAGCATCCCTGTTTTACCATTTTTTGCCAGAGACTATGGGCGACGCATCCTCCGAAACGTCAGAAGGTTGCCTCAACTTGATCAAGTCATGACATTGCGTACAGCACTGTGTGTCCAAAGCCGACGTGCAGCTTGAATCCGCCAGGCCGAGAATGACAAGTGGTGGGGCAGCTGGGAAAAGGCGCGGTACTGCCCGCAATACCTCACACCATTCCACACCATTCGTATGCGTGCTTCCGTCAGCAAGTTCTCCGGCAAGATCGCACTGCAGGCTGGCAGCCGCAAAAAGGGACACAAGGTGCAGTTCTCAGTTTTGAGATGCAGAGGCACTGCAGAACTGCAGAGCCACAGGTTGACACATATATGTGAAGATGCTGGACTTTGAAGCTGACATTTCCAAACCCAGGAGAAGAACAAAGACGGCCCCGCTCTAGCAGAGGCACTGCTTCGGCGAGAACGACTTGCTTTCACTCTGTCTCATGTCAGTCCCTGTGTGTCTCGTGAGGACGACGACGCCGAAGGAGACTTTTGGGACATGTGGCTTGCCAAGACTGACACTGCTGGGTGTAACGGACCACAACGGACCACAACGGACCAAAACGGACCCGATTCAATCAGCCAACCGAATTCTGCTAAGGCCAGACACGTCTGCCCCAGATGCAGAGGCAAGCTTTTGAAATGACAAGTTACAAAAGCTACCCACTGCATTGATGGGCTTTGATGTGGTTTTATTAGCTTTGTTTTTTCTTATGTATTGTCTGTATTGTTCTTTCTTATGATTTATTAATTTATTCTTACTATTTCTATCTATTTCTATCTATTTCTATCTATTTCTTACTGCTATGTGTTCTTTTTGAATTTGATGAACACATTTTTTCAAAGCCGCAGACGGCTTCCTCGCAGGGTGGCTTGGATCGGTGGACCTTGGGCCGCCTTCCGGGACACGAGCAAGCTGCAGAGGATGGCATGGCGGTACCCAAGGCATACGCGGCTGAGATTCTTGTTGTTTCCCAGATTATTTTCTGTTTTGATGTTATGTGTATATGTATGTATGTATATATATATATATGTAACACACACACACACATAATATATATATACATACATATTATATTCTACATATGTTTTGATGTTTTTTGATGTTTATTGTTGGGTTTTTGATCAAGACTTTATTCTCTTTACTCTCAAATCAATGTCCCAGAATGATGGGAACCCCAAAGTATCTTCCCAGACATGCATCCAAAACATGGTGGAAGCCTCCCTGGTTTAGCTATCCTGCTATCCCATTTCCCGTGTTTTGGACACCCAGATGTTTGTCTTCATCATTGAAGATCTTTGCTTAAAGTAACTTGCCGAACGGTTTCCGGCCTCAGGCGATGCCAAACAATGCCTTGACCGTGGAGGCATTAGAGTTTGAGCCCCAATGACTTCCAACGAAAGGTCTTTATCTCCCCCATGATTGGGAAATTGAAACCTGGAACATCAGCTGTAATGGTGATTCAATATGATTCAATACTTGTTAGCCAAGGAAATCATCTTCTATGATTTCTACATATGTGTATTTCCGAGGCGTGACCACCTGGCAGCTGCTCGGACCTCGATTGACAACTGGAAGCTTCGATAAAGATGTAGGTCACAATTTCGAACCAACGAAACTCTAGCAGATTGATCAATGTTGGGTGCCATCCAGTTGTTTTATCTTGTTTCGGTGCCTCATTTTTTTACGAATACCCAATGTGACTTGTGACTGGCTGCAAGGCCCCCACAGTGGCGCCGCAGGTGGCAGCTGCCCGGCTGCAGCTGCAAAAGGGATCACAAATTTGGTCATGCTTAGCATATGGGTATGGGTCAATACCTATAGATACATTTTTAGTGGGATGAACATCCATTTACCAGCTATTTTGGGGTTCACTAGGTACCAGGGTTTTGACCCATTCCCATATGAACTTGAAACCATCTTGTTAGGATCAGCAATTCCGAGCCTACAGATTTGAATCTTAATCACAGCCCAAATAGATACTTCTTGGAGATGAATCCCTCGGGTGATGCAAAAATTCCACATTCTACCAGCTACCAGCTGTTTGGTCGCCATGCTGATTCCCACCCTTGAGCAACTGCTCAGGCTCCAGCCCCCATGAACGCGCCCAGTGGCAATTGGATGGTGGATGGCCTACCACCACCTCAGCAGGAGAGATCGGAGAGATCCAGTCCAAAAATGGAGCATTTACCCTGAGGGGTCCGGTAGCTTATTTTCACAATCCCCGTGTCTTCTGGAGCCTGAAGTTACTCAAAGAAACCCCACCACCAACTGAGACCAACTGCCCAAAGGACCTTTTGGCAGCACTGGGTGCGCCAGTGGCCGTTGGGAGGCCCAGGTCCATCTTTTCATGCATCAGATTGCTGGAGGGTGCCTCAAGGGCAGGTGAAATGCCATGGAAGTCTTTCTCTGGCAGACATTTTCAGTATATGATTTCAGATGCCCAGTCCAAGATGCCAAGCGAACCTGTGAAGGATCAAATCTTGATCCGGCCCTGAGGCATCTTCCAGCTCTGCCCCAGCAGAGGATAGAAACCAGGATAGGCCTGAGCGCGGCGAGAAAGGCGAGGGGGACACAAGCTTGTTCTTTGTCACAAAAATACTATTGTACAATTGAATACACCAGGCCACCATTTTCTACCAATCACATTCCATTTATTTGATGTGCCAATACTGCACCAATTTATGCCAAGTCTGGCTGCAAACTGTGCATTTGACAGGAAGGAAGCAGTCCATTCGTTCTTGTCGTGGGGTGTTTGCAGTCGTTTGTTTCTCACTCCAATCTGACATTGGTTTGACCTTTGGTGCTAGGCCGCGGGAAGGGCAAGAAAGGTAAAGACCGAGAGAAGGGTGCCGAGGGCGAGAAGGACCTCCAAAGCTAAACTCGACATACCTGGCTGGGTGTGCAATGGATCTGGCAAGAAATTATGCAGAAAGCAAGTACCAAAATGAGAGCTCTCACCGTGCTTTGCCTTGTGGGAGACTTAGCATATCTTAGGCGGGAAGGGAGAGATGGTAAGCAAAAGACACCAGTGGGGACTACTGTAATGTAGGTCACAATAAAATCCAAGTGGTACTATAATGATACAAAAACAGGCACCCCCGACACATGGGTTTGGAGGGCCCGAATGCACGTTTCTTTCAGGAGCGACTAGAGCGCATAGATCGCTCAGACGATCCTCGTCGGCAAGCGGTCGAGCAGGTGGGATCCACTTGGAAGATGGTGAAAGATGGTGAAAGATGGTGAAAGATGGTGAAAAGCGACAGGTCAAATGGTGAAGGTAACGACTCTGCATTCTCTCCAGGTCGGAGAAGTCGTTACGGTGCGCAAGCACAGCTCAATGGGCTGTGCCGTCGTATCCATGACCGATGTCAGGGTGCGACAGGCCGCGGCTTGGGTGCGATCTTGAGATTGGACCAAGAACACTAGTGCTGAGTGCTGCCTCCTGCACGCTTGACATGGACCTCAGCAACCGTGGCAATCTATATGTGCACCAAGTACCAAGTGTAGAAGTGTCGTTGTCGTTAGACTTCAGTTTTGATGTTTGTTTACTAGTGATGGCTAGTGATTCCAGGTCCTCGTGGCCCTCGTGGCTAGTCCTTTTTGGGGCAACAAACTCGCGGGGCGATGCTACCAGACTGCGACGCCAGGCAATCGTGGCCGAAGGCAACGAATGCACAATCAATGGCCTCAAGGTCCAAATCAAACCGCATCACAACAAGGACTGAACAGATAGATACAGTTAGTACATGTAATACATATATAGTATTATATATATAGATATTATACATATATATAATGATATATATATATAATAATATATATATAATAATATATATATATAATATAATACATATATATATATATATATACATATGTATAATCATGTATAGATAGTATACATACGGACACCTTGTGTCACCTTAGTGCAGTCTTGTGCAGTATCTGAGAGCGCTGTGTTGATGCTTTTTCTAACCGGTCTTGAATCAATACTTGGGAGCCATGATTTGCTTTGGCTTCCATTTTTGTGGTTGTGTGAACGAACTGCAGGACACCAAAGAAGAGGTTCTGACCGACCTGTTCGTCGCTTGGGGTAGACAGGCCGGAGGGGAGGATGCAGCATTTTCTTGGCATTCCTACTTCAGCGCTGAAAGGTAGAGAAGGTGAGTCCCCTTTCGGAAGAGAAGATTGCCCAGTGCCTTCGCAGATCATTGTGCTGCTCAAGTGGTGGCGGATGCACGAGCTGCTAGGTACTTTGACAAAAAGTACAAGGACATCATCGCAGGATGGAAGGCAGCTGAGGAGGTGTGCAGCTGCGCAGCTGCGCCGCGCCTGTGACGACAAACATAATATCGGAGTCGTTCTAAACCCATGCAAGACTTTTAGTATCCGAGCGACATTTGCAGATATGGACGTGTGCTTTACCTCAGGGGCGGCCTTTCGTCGAAAGGTTTCGCGAAAGGTCCAAATACACCTAGATGTATGTGATAGTATTCATGCTTGGCAGTTGCGGTTGCATTCGCACAACCATTGAACAATAATTTTGGATATTTTGGGAATCTGTCTCAGATAATGGGTTTTTAGTATTGGAACTGAAACACCCGCCCAGCAAATCATGCAAATCATCCTCTTACGCAAATCATCCTGTAGCTACAAGTCATTCCCAAGAAACATGATTGTCAAATGCAAGAACCTGAGGCAGCTCCTCTAGTTTTGTTGATGTGTTTCTGCCGAGCACATCCTCATCACTGCCAGGAGAGGAGGCAAGCGGAGGAGCGTTGCAGAGCAGTTTTCTGAAGGTATTGCACCCCTGCCCTGCTACAAGGGATTGCCTTACTTAAGGGCCATTCCCCCATTCAGAAAATAAATACACACACACGACATACAATCACAACAACATACATGTGTGTGTGTGCGCGTGTTTTTTGACATACTGATATACTGTACATACGTATATATATATATATAATAGATATTTAGGCTGTCTGTAGTGTAGCTACACACATTCATTCATACATACACATCATCTTTAGACAGCATCAGGAGCAACAACGGCAAGAGATTGTTTTAAAGCAGAGAACTGAAGAGCCGGAAACCCGAGAGAACCGCACTGCGATGGGACTGATGGCATGCCTCCTGCTGGAACACCCCAAGGGGCGATAGAAACCTGTTCCAAGTCAGCAAGTCGCATGATTCAAGATGCATTGCCTTGTGTCCAAAACTTAGGCGTAGACGATACGAAGAAGAAGAGTTGATGACCCAGCTCTCAAAATGCTCTCTTTCGTTTCCAAAACATGCAGTGCTCCGCAGAAAGTGGACCAGAGCCAGAGTGGCAGAAACCCTTAGGCACAAATTCACAAATGAAACCCAAGTTGCATGTTGCAGTACCCAAAGCGGACAAATGAGTGATTCCGTTGGCAGCGAGCCACAACTTGGGAAAACTCAATATCATCGAATGCTTGTCAATATTAATTTTCCTGTGCTTAGGCAAAAGCGACGCCAGCAAGAGGCCCGTTATGCAACCGGGGCCAAGGTTTCTCAAGCTGTGGTGAGAATTCGCGGAATTATCACAGAGTGACCATCTGGTTATTTAACATAGCCATGGAAAATGGCCCATTTATAGATGGTTTACCTATTAAAAATGGTGATTTTCCATGGCTATGTTAAATAGCCAGATGGTAAGTGAGAGTCTGACAATCCACAGAATCTCATAGCTTTCAGTGGAAATGGCATACCGATGTGCTGGATCTGGTCACAGGCTGAGCAGCAGCAGAAATGGATGAGTCAACAGTGGATGCAACAAGCTGGTGGCGTGGTGCCGCAGGCAAGATGCGTTGAACCGTGGTAGCCGTGGCACAGCCCAATTCAACCAGTGAATCATGGTGAATCCCCGACAATTCCTATCTCCGCCAATCTCCGCCAGGGCGGAGCAGTTAGGGGCATGGGAGCCACCGCTGATGCGTGAGGAACTAAGTGAAAGGAGAAAACAAGGCCTTCACACGTGACACAAATAGCCGTTGCTCCGCATGAATTGGTCTAGAAGTGTTTCCTCCAAGGTATCAAGCACAGCTGCAGCAGCAACAGCCACAGCAGTCTGATGCCTGGCAGTAAGCTTGAATGTGCATATAATATACATATTATATATGGTGCACATATATGATTTTCTATGTATACAAAAGCAATTTAGCGAAGTGAGGCAGTAGGTGGACAGTCATGCTTTCACCGGACCAATCATGTTTTGTTTCCAAGTATTAATAAGTGAGCTGCATCACCATCTCTGAGGCAGCAACAAGCAGCAGCCATGCAGTGGAACCCGTCCCAGCAGCAGCAGTGGATGCAGGCAACACAGCTCCAGTGCGGGTAGACTCGCTACCAGTAGTACTGTATCAATCTGTATCATTTGTCTCACATCTCTATCATTCTCTATCTAATATATGAAATGATAATTCACCAACCCCAAATTTGGTGTCAACAGCCGTCAAACAGCACTGGTGTAGCAAATGGCATTGGATTTTTGCAGCATCCACCTTTTATCCTGGATATTCCCGGGCTTAAAAACAATTAGGGATTTGGGAGTTGGTATGCGATGACAATGTTGTTATGATAAGAACGTCCATAGAAGAGAGAATGCTTTCCCTATGGCTTTGTCTGAGAATTCCCTCTCACAGTGGCCAGAACTGCGGGTATACATGGGTATACGGTATCCGGTATACCATGGCATACCCATTTTCAGGATTTTTCAGGTACCCTAGCCATGTCATTTTCACATGCTCCTGACCAGGCAATGGCATACCAGGCACAGGGGTGGCAGATGGCTCAGCGAGGTCTTCAGATGCAGGGCATGGCCCAGGCAGCCTCGGGTCAGGACGGGTGCCCCCTGGGAGTGAGTTGTCCCATTTTGGCTGAGAAAACCTGCGAACATTTGCTGTCAATGGGATGATTTCCCCCACATATTGGATGGTCAATCCCCGGTCAAAATTCGGCCCAGAGAATATGGGATGGTTTCCAAAGTTGAATAACCACTAGTGATCACTAGTGTATGTGTACAGTAAATTATGTAAAAAAAGGCATTGTGGCGCCCTGAAATCTTAGCGCCAATCAGCTCTCCAGGACCAGGCGGATTGGCGGGCTTACTACCAGCAGTGACCTCTTAAGTCCAGACATTTGCAGAGGAATCACAGAGATAACCATATTACCCTCTGGTAATTTAACATAGCTATGGAAAATCACTATTTTTAATGGGAAAATCCACTATAAATGGCCATTTTCAATAGCTATGTTAGTTTACCAGAGGGTAACCTTAAGCATCATTTAGCCACCATTGACCATCATTAACCATCAGAAAAACCATCTGGTCAACCATTTGGTCTTAAATTTTCTCAAATTGGATTTCTGAAACCACATTCTAAAACCCCACCTTCGACATTTTGCATTAGAACCTGTTGCGTTTACACGATTGTGCTCCTGCAATCAAATCGACGTGGAGGTATGTAGATCAACAGCAGCGTGGCCAGAATGCTTTTGTCTTGGCCTAAGGCAATGATCATAAATCTTCTTCAACATCTTCTTGATCCTGTCATTGTGCAAATTTGGTTGTACTGTATCTCTTTTTCACCTAGCTTCCGAAGCCATCTAAGGCTGCACAACAGCAAGCGGGCGGGTCAGAGCCTTACACATGGACATATTTGGACAAACATGGAGAATGTCGCCTAGTCGCCTAGTCGCTGCACAAGTTGATTAGTTTCTATTAGTTTGTGGAGAATGTTCCTTTCATCTCTAAGGTATCAGAACCAGCAAGCCTTCAACTATGGCACATACTCGCGCGGTGAGCGCATTTGAGGGCGCTGTAGGGCTGCCTTGAGACGCCCGCAGATGGCTGAGACATGTGAGAGGTTGTAGGATGCTCCATTAGTCCGTGTCACATTCAGTGCAAGCGGATAAAATTTACGAAATCTTGAAACACTGCATGCCATAATTGAGAAGGATTGTGGACCTGAATGAACGCGGGACTTTTCGGGAGCTGATAGTTGGATCTTTGGACAATTGCCAGCTGGCTTGTTCCACTTTCAAGCTCAAAGTCAGTAGATACTATGCTCCTCCTCAGGATTTGCCGAATTCAAGGTACTAAAACCCATCGCGTGATATGAAAATCCAATCCTCCCGTTAAAACGGGTTTTTGGACAGCGCTTCCCCGCTGTATTGGAAATGCGAGGAGGTTGCAGACTGGCACCAAAATGCCTCAAGTCACCCCTAAGGCAAACAGAGGCGACACATCAAAGCCCGGAGATTTTGCCTCTGTCTCACTCGGCGAGAAAATGTCAGGGCTTGGTTTTCCAGTCTAGAATATTCTAGAATCAAAGATAGTCACAATATCTCAAAGTAATCATGATGGAAACTTCTCACACTCCAAGGGACAAGATCTGCGTCTAAATCCACTTCCAACTCCACTTGGCCAGAGATCTTTATCCAGTGTTATCCTAGATACTGGATTCACAACTTTGAGCAGGGACTTGCAGGCGGTCTGGGCTATGGCGGCTATGCAACATTTTGGCTTCGAAATTGCACAGGAACCAGTTGTAGTGTAGATTTGGCGGAAGTCCTCGCTGCATTGTGAGGCAAGCTGTGATTTGATCCTATCCTGAAGCATGTCTATCCTTCTTGTTTGCCTTGAAGCTCCCCAAGAACTGCAATAGTCTAGAAGCGAAATGGCCTCCCAGCCTCTTGCAGATACTGTACACTTCGCAAAAATCGCCACAGCTCACCTCTCTGTAGTTGCAACTTGACACGCTGTGCTTGTACTGAATTGGTCCAACTGCTTTCGTATCAAAGCAAACCAAGACAACCAGGGATCCACGACCCTTCTCACCTTTCGACATCTTTCGACCACAATAAAAAACTTTGATCCTCACAACAAAGCCTGGCAATGGAAGGTGTTCAAAGATATCCATAGATACTCGTATCCAAAATGGTTTGAGACTCTTGTCCTGTCTATGTGCACCTAGCATGCAGGTCGCAAACATGCCGGGCGAAGGCAAGGAAAACCATGAGCCGTTTAGATCTGTCTCGTCTTCACCGAATTTGCGAAGGTGGGATAGATGCCCCGCCGCCACCATCTGGCTTGGGCAACTTCAAAGGAGTGATGCTCTGCAGAGACCTCAGACCTTGTCCGATTTTGTAACCTTCCTGATGGGTTGAACGGATTTGAATGTATTTGAACCGACATAATATGATGTGATAGCTACATTCATTGTATATCCAGGCCCAAGCACACAAGAGTGCAACTTACTCATACATAGTCTGTAAAGCTACAGGATAGTTGGCGTTCAGCAATTCCACATACAGAAACCGATTCTGATTCCTGTGATTGTCGTGACATTTGCTGCCCAGGTAATAGGCCCAATGATGACTCCAAGATGGCCAGCGACATGAAGGAGCCATTTAGGTGCTGCCACTGGGATCAAGCAGGGGAGTTCCAGCAAATTTGATGCAGCGCACAACGTGATTACTGGGAAATTGCTCTGGAAGGAAACAGATGAAAAACACGGTATTTAGCTACGATACCTTTTGCATCCTTTTATCTTTTGCCATTAAGAGATAGAGAGAGAGAGAGAGGGAGACAACGATTAGAAAGATGGACACAGAGGCTCACAGAGGGCTGAGTTTTGGGCATGGTTGTTGCCCTAGTCACTGCCACTGTTAGCCCCATGGTTGGAAGTCTTTGACGACTGCCAGGTCTGCAGTTGCTCAGACATCCGAGTTGGGTCTGACTCCCATGCGGTGGAAGCCTGAGGCTGTTGTTGCCATGTTGAGCAATGCACAGTTTGTTGATCTTTCGCACGAGATACCGTTGTACGACCCAGGAACTTTGAGCCCACTGTCAAGAAGAGGGGTCCTAGCGCAGCCCTTCGACGGCATGTGTACTTGGCTCAGTCTATTTCAGTTGCAAGGATGGTCAAGCACGGCAGACTTCAGTCACCTGGTCATATTAGAAAAACATCAAACACCTATGCCATCAATGGGCCATCAATCCATAATCTTATTTTGTTTTGAATCATTCGAATTCATTTTGGTTCCGAAAAACTCTGCAGACCTTATATGGAAAACTAAGGCGATGGCTCCGAGAACTGCAAGAGCAGATGAGAGAAGATCGGCATCAGGCAAGCTAAATGCTGCATTTGAAATATGATGCCGCATCCTGGCAGTATCCTGGCAGTATGAATTGCTCAAAGTCACACAAAGGCATCAATGACAATAATGACATTGCAGTCGAGATTTTTCCCGTCTTAAAAGATCCAAGAATGTTGGCAGGTAGAGCAGGAAGGACAGGATGAGGAGGAAAAAAAGCAGAAGCTAAAGGCTACTTTTGACAAGTATGCTCCCAAGTCGCTGAATGTTTGGATCATTTTGGATCATTTTGGATCTGCTTTGATCTTGCTGGGTGGATACATTTTGGCTCAAGTGTTGGCTCAGGAAAGCCAACTGAAAAGGCTGGGTTGCAGGAGCCATGGCGTTCCTCACCCTTCTGCTGTTGCCTCTTGCTCGCGCCGTGCTCGAGTCTGTAACGCTGCCCACGGAAATCGAACCTTTGGGAGCTACTGATGCCTTCGATTTCCTTAAGCAAGCCGACAGGCATGAGAAGCATGACAAGCATGAGCATGAGCAACATGAAGATGCCAGAGTCAGAAGCCTCCGACGACAGCGCAGCACTGGTGGAATCGCTTTTGGTCATTTGGGCTTTCCTCCTTTGGTTGTCAGCAGGCTATGATCAAGTGTAGTATCTGTTCTTATCAGTGTGACAACTGATAGGTCTCCATCTGGAGACTTGCTTGTCACATCAATTCCATCCTTCTTAACGGCGGTAGTCCTAATTTTGCTCGTATCGGTCACTTGTTCGGCGCTGCGACCGGGATACTGTTGACCTTCAAAGCCAGGTTTCGCACCTTTGGCACTTTTCATTTTGATTCGTGAAAATTGTTCAGCCATTTTCTTGTGTGTGCGTGTGTGTGTTAGTTGATGCTGCTCCGCTGTTCCTGTCATCTCCCTTCTCCCTCCGCCGCATGTTGCATGTTTTTTTTTGTTTTTTTTTGGATTTGTTTTAGTGGCCGCCGTCGTTGGGCACTCACTTAGTTTTTTTTGATTTGAGAAGGGTTTTTGACTTCATCTCCATTTGAAAGTTTTTCCCCGAAGTTGGAATGATCCTATGTGAGTCAACATCACCCTTGCACTTTAACGGCATGTGCAACTCACAACTCATGACCTGATCCATCCATGTTCACGAGTGAGCAATGTTTTCTTTCAAATAGCCCATGGAGGGCTTGTGGGATGCTTTGAGAGCGTCAGGGCAGGGACTCCTGGCTAGCACATTGCTGCGCCATGGTGTGCGTAGTGTTTCCGATGTCGCTTTGAAATCCTCCGTTCTGCAAGAGAATGGTGTTCTCCAATGGCAGATTGAAGCCATTTTGGCGGCGGGGCCCCAGCAGGCGGGGTCCCCAGCCCAAGTGAGGGCTGATTTGCCAGTTGCCTTTCAGGGGAAGAGGGCAAACCTTTCAGCAGCCTTAGAGGCTGCGCGACCAAATCAGCGGGCTCGCAGTTTAGCCGCCCTTGACGAAGATGTCTTAGCTCGGAGCACGGCTCCAGCTCACGAGTCACGTCTTCGGACGTATCAGGCTGTTTGCAAGGCTTGGGATCTGGAGCCTTTTCCGCTCTCCAATGAGAACGTTCGAGCTTTCGCTGCGAGTCTGAAAGCAGGTGGATACAGAAGCGCTGCCGTGTATTTTCAATCCATTTGCTCACACCAAACCAGGCATTTGCACCTTCCTGTTGACTCGTTGCTTCGGCATGTCATTCGAGACTGTCTGCGTTCAATTTTGCGTGGACTTGGAGCTCAACGTTTAAAGGAGTCCTTCGACGCTATGCGACTCAATGATTGCTCTTTCAGTTTTGTCGATGAAGCTTTCAGTTTTGATCAAGTTAGCCACTGCCGAGATCTTTGCATTATCGGATTGTGGTACATGTTACGTGAGTCGGAGTTAGCATCAGCTCGGCTCAGTCATTTGACCTTGACTGACTCTGAACTTCGCTTGCTGATTCCAATCCACAAAACCGATTGCTATGGTCAGCTCTGTGAACGAGTGCTGTCTTGCTCCTGCAGGGTCCGACGACACAATTTATGCGTCTGGCATGCGGCAGAGCGCCACCTCATCAGGTGCCAACACAACCTTGGCGGTGGTGATGCAAATAGGTTTCCATTGTTTCCCACTAGCAATGGACAGACTGCCAGCAAGCATCAATTTATCATGGCACTCAGGTCAGTCATTTCTTTTCTTGGCATTCCACTGGGTCGCAGGGATCCTTCAGGGAAAGACATTCAACGTTTCCACGGCCACGTTCTACGTGTCAGTGGAGCGCAGATGTTGTTCGCAGCTGGTGTGCATCTACAGCTCATACAGCTGCTGGGGAGATGGACAAGCATGACCATCTTGCGCTACACGCAGCAAGCTGGCCTCAATCTGCTGCCGAGCATCCCTGATGTGGTGCTGAACAACCGGCCTGATGTTGGTTCGCTGGCGATTGCGCCTGCCGTGGGCCCTCAAGTTGATTCAGATGCGTTGAGCCGTGCTGCTCCCAGGATCTCAAACGAGTCCTCCAGATCGGGCGCTTCTTCTTCTTCCAGGACCTCGACATCCGGGGACATCACTGCTTTGCGTGCCGAGCTTCAGATCCTCAAACAAGCAGTGATCAAGCCGCCTGCAGCATATGTCATTCGCTCCAGGTCCAAGATTGTCCACCTGGGCTGCCCGCATGAACTCAGCAACCCACCTAGCTCGTGGCGTTCACGGTGTGGATGGGCCTATGGTCAGGCAAACTTTTTGAGGGTCAGTGAGATTTCTGATCCCCTTAGGGCCTGTCAGAAATGTTTTGATCGGAATGCAGATTCCGGTTCCGATGTTCAGAGCTCTGGTTCGGGCTTTTCTGACCTGGAACCTTCTGATAGTGACAGCTCTTGATGTTCTGAAGCCTCCAGCTGGCGAGGTTCTTGATCGGTGCCAGCAATAGGCATCCACATTAACCTGACTCATGCAACTGATGTGGTTAAAACAAATGCGACCGGCCGACACGGTATCCCAGGTGCCAGTCCACTGCATGCGAGTTTACATTTATGATGTCTTTCATTTTAGACCTGAGACTCTGCACATCATTGTGGTACTTTGGCTGCTCTCCACCAACTGGTAGGCAGGTATTTTGTTTGTTTTGGTTGTGCCACCCCACTTGGTTATTTTTCCAACTTTGGTCTTTGCACAGTTGTTTTTGTGTTGATTTGCGACTCATCACGACACGTTAAGTGTTCACGGCAGATCGGTCTTTCAGACACACGTGGTTCGATTTATTCTCAGAATTTTGCTGGCCCAATTCCAACGGTGCCTAGCCACCATGACCATGCGGGCATTGAACCATGGCACTCTGCCTGCCCTCGAGGATCTGTTTGTGGAAGCAGCGGCAGGGGATGTCATTCGTTCCTATTTTGCAGACAGAGCCATCAAGACCACTGCTACTTTGGCCCTGCTTGCCAAAGATGAAGACCACCTCTCATCGGTTTTGATCACACCTTTGATGAGTGGGTGGGAGAAACAGGATGGATCCAGGATCAGCCTAGCCGAGGCTGAAAAGCCAATTGCAGATGCCATCTTGAAGCATCTCTGGAATGAAGCCAATAGCTCTTGGCAGGCTCAGATGACCTTGCGGCATGCTCCTCCAGTCACTTCAGTTCCTGGCGCCATTTCGCTAGCAGCAGCGAATCCAGTGGCCGAGGAGAAGATTCCGAGGCAGTTGCCTCCCGGTGTCTGGGCCAATTTGCTCCATGAGTACCAGTCGCAACAAATTGGGGGCGTTGACCGGATTTTCCCGGTCAACGAACTTCTTGGCACAGACAAGATCTTGGCCAGGGTTTACTACGAACACACCAGCTCCAAGACCTACAGTCCGGTGGGTCTCGGTGAGTTGGTAGCCGCCAGGACTTTTACTGCGGCTGGCGAACCAAACCCATTGGCCAAGAAGGATCGCAGCACTACCACGTTGTTGCTCAACGATGCCAAGCTCGTAGCTGCCCCTGAAGAAGCGTGGCAACCACGCAGTGTTTTGGCAGTGCTGGATGGATTAGCTTCCATCCGTTGGTGCTTCATTCTGTTGAAACTTGGGAGTGAGCAGGCAGTCCACTCCTATTTTGATTGGCTGACCAGACTGGTTCGATCGAGACCTCAAAAGACCGAACAGTTTGGGCAATTCTTCATCACTATCAGTTGGAAGTTGGCCACCGCAATGAGAAGTGGCCAGTCCTTTGATGCTGCGGCTAGCCTCTTGATGAAAGACTTGGATGTTTTCAGTGAGTGCATGTCACGAGAGGCATCTTCTTCGACCAAGAAGTCCAACAATACCGAGAAGACTGGACCTCAGAAAGGTTCCGGCAAAGGAGGGGGCAAGTCCAAGTTTGGCCAATACAGGTCGCAACCGTATGCCCGTCAAAACAAGACATGGACGGCGCCATATCCCGATGGAAATGGGGCCCCTTCTCAATCTACATGGCATCCTGAGGCGAGCTCTCCTGCCAGATGGTCGTCATCTTCTTGGCCATCTGATTGGAACGCCAGTGGCAAATAGGGACAACACGGGGACCCACCTTTTGAGGTGGGTGGGTCACCCGACCCTGTTGTCATTGCTGACAACCGCCCTCCACTGCCACGCAGGATATCCCAACCACGTGCCGAGGCCTCCCCAGTTTCGGGCAATGACATCATTTTGCTGAGCTGTTTTGATGGTATTGCAACGGCTGCTCATGTTTTGACAGATGTTTGGCACGCTTTTCCTCTTTGTGGCTTGGGAGGTTGACCCCGAATGCTTGCTCATCACAAAGCGCCACTTCCCACAAGTAGTGGCCAGAGGCGATTTCATGTCTGATCCTGCTGCTGATGTAGTGTCTCTGGTCTCTGAGTACGACCCACAAGGCAAAAAATTGATATTGTTTGTTGGAGCTCCACCGTGTCCAGACTTTAGCGCGATTCGCCCTGATGCACCTGGCCGTTCAGGACCAGAAGGACAGAAGTTTTCCCATTATTGCACCTGGTGTCGTGAGGTTGAGTCTGGTCTTCCCCACCATCGAGTGGGCTACCTGGTGGGGAACGTGATTTTGCAGGATCGTGGTGAGGCGGATTTTTTCTCCAACGCGTTGGGTTGTCAGACAGTTGCAGTTGATGCATCAGATTTCGGATTGATCAGTCGTCCTCGGCTGTGGTGGAGCCGCGTTGATTGGCACACTGTAAATTCATATCCAGGGTCTGCCAAGCCTTTGCGTTGGACCAAGCTGCATAAATTTCCCCGTCTGCATGTGGACTGCGATCTTCAGCATGCGTCATCGTTGGACCTTGATGGCAAACATCTGGACCCCCGGGTTCAACGACATGAGCTGTGCGTCCCTTGCTTGACCACTCCTTCGCCTTCCGCGTCTGGACGGGCGGCTCCGAAGCGAATGAAAGGGAAGTTGGACCCATACACCAAAACCCGCTGGCTGGAGGATCATCGCACCTATGCTCCATGGCAGTATGAACCGCATGCTCTACTGCATGATGACCAGGGCAACATGCAGGTGCCCACTGCGGAGTGCAAAGAGCAACTGCATATGCTACCAAAAGGCTACACTGCCATTGATGGAGTCCACGATCGAAGCCGCCACCGAGTTCTGGCAAATGGATGGCATTGTGGCGTCGCCCGCTTTCTTTTTCAGTTTGTCTTGGCAGCGATGGTCACAGGCTCCGCTTCCACGACTTTGAAACCACCTCCACGACAGAGCACGTTGCAATGGGTGGAACAGTTGATGCGGGTCCAAACGGCACATGTTGGACCAGGTTTCTGGCCCACTCAGCCAATTTGTGTGGCTCCTTCACGAGACATTTGGGATCATTGGCACAATGCCACCACTGCGGATCACCCTTTGCATTTTCCTGCCAAGATTGCACCTGGTTTTGTTCAATGCTTGAAATTTCAGTTTGATTGGCGTCATGACTTGGTTCGCATCCGTGACGAACTGGCTGTCGAAATTCACACGATGGTCGATGAGTGGGCCGACCACACCCATGATTGGTGGTTGAAGTTGCGGCCCCATATACAACAAGTATATTGGAACCCTGACACCAAGGTCATCACACAGATACCGGTTTTGCTGCATTTGTTGGGTCGATTTGGTTTTCCTGGTTTGCCTGAACTAGCAGATGATCTTTGTAATGGTTTTGCCATGACTGGTCAACTACATGGAGGTAGCGGATGGGCCCCACGTACAGATGATAAATATGCCTCACCTTTATCAATGCCACGGTTCAAAGAGCTGAATCGCCATTATATCTTGCAAAGGTTGAATCATCCGCGTATTGACAAGCATGCTGACACCATGTTAAAAGAGCTCATTGAAGAACTTCGGCTAGGACGTATGGGAGGCCCTTTTCTGGCTCCCACTTGGTGGCCTTGCAACACAGCAGAGCTCCCTGATCGCTACAATATTCCTTTGCCAGATGATGAGATTTCTGCATCTTTTTGTTTTAGCGTCGAACAAAGTGACAAAATCCGACGCTGTGAAGATTTCAAGCACAGCTTTCTGAACAGTACAGTATGTGTACACGATACCCCACATCATGATGATCTTTCCGTTTTCGTTGAACTTATCCGTGCTCATTTTGATTTGCAAATTCAAGCCCAAGCCTGGGCACAGGACCTGGATGGTGCGTATCGCCAATTTCCACTTCGCGATCCACGCGATGGCTTTTGTATCCTTCAATTGGGTTCAGGCCCTTTGCTGCTTCAACATCATGCACTGAGTTTCGGCGCTGTCTCTTCAGTTTGGGGATTCAATCGGGCAGCAGATGCTTTATGTTTCCTGGCTAGACGTATTTTTCAGATTTGCGTGGGTCATTTTGTTGACGATTTTGTTGGTATTGAAAATTCCCAGACCATTCATAGCGGCTTTGATGCGTTT